ATTGTGCCAAGCAAACTATTGTTTCCTCATCCTGTTTCAGACATCGGCAAAGCTTGAGAACTCGTAATGCTAACACGATCGTCATGAGAAGCAGGGTCAATACGCCCACTGGCGATCGGCGACGGCACGACAGCGCCCCAAATCACCGGTGTCCGGACGAAGTTGAGGCTCGCGTGGGGGATAACGAAGACCGCAGCGTCTCATCATGGGAGAAAGAGGCAGACATGTGCAGACATGTCCAAGTGGAGGACACTCCGGTCTGATTGTTGCCCGCCCAACCTTTTCCGTAAACCCACTCGCCGCGGTTAGAATATTAGGCCATGTTGATTTGATTATATGGATGACATCCTCCGGGAGCCCCAAAACTGATGCGTGCGTGCGAATAAAAAAAAGTTTTGCAAAAAAAAAAGTTGTTTTCATTATGAAATCTACGTGGTCATGAGGGTTGAACAAATGGGACAGAATATGGTTTGGCGAATAATCTAATCTTCAAGTTCATTTCCTTACAATTTCGTCTTTTTTCGTTTGATTTTGGCATTCTACGACATTGGTATAGTTTTTACTTATTTTTTTGTAACTTACGGTATATTTTTGCTCATTTTGCAACTGTTTTGTACGATTTACAGTATGGTTGAAAACTTTTTTTTTTTGAAACGGCCAAACATTCATGCGCGCGCGGATGTCATCCATATAATCAAATCAACATGGCCTTACTTAGGAGCGGTTGGAAACGGAAGGGGTGTGGAACGGTTGGAATCCTCCGTTTTGGTTTCAGCCATTCCACACCCATTAACAGCCGTTTAACAATCATTTGCAACCGTTCCACATCCATATCCGACCGTTTCACATTTCCAACCGTTCTAAACCCATTTCCAAGCGCCCCATTTCCAACAATATGTGGAAAGGTTAGAAATGGTCTGATAAAGATTTGTCGCATTGACAATTTAAAGTACGTACATTAGAGTGGCTCAAAAGCCTGCCACGTGTGCATAGTAGCTATAGCTAACATGTCAGTGTACTGAAACCATCTAAAACAGGGGCAGTTATCATCACTATTTTGACTGTTGATGCAGTGGAAAGCAACACTACAACTGACGTTTCAGCACTTCGGACAGTGGCGCATGCATGGTGTTCAGTTGAACGGTAGAATTTGTGGATTCCGATCGGAGTTTCTGTTAACAGAGACTCCAATTGTGATCGCCGACTCTACCACTGTACCAGATCGGAGTTCCTACTCTGCCATATGTATATATGTAAGCGCAGAGGGCTAGGCCCTCCCACAACAGAAATTAAAAGAAAATCAAGGAGCTAAGAGAGCTCGCGAGACAGAGGACACAGTGGAAAGAGATGAAGAAAGACTGACTGCAGATGCAGGATACAGTGGATGATGTATATAACGTTATATGACATGATGTGTACATATTTGTGTGCGTTTGTCTGTTTGTCTGTCTGTTTGTTTGTGTACGCGAGTAGTACTGGACGTTGGTTGTGATTGTCAAATATTTAAATGTTGACTCCAAGTTTCATCATACACTTGTATACATCATACACTTCAAAACATGAAAAGAACGTGTCCACAGCATTTGGGTCAGATAGCTGAGGAAGACTGAGTGATTCAGTCGAAAATTTCTGGTGACTCAAATTTTGAGTTGGAGAATAGTTTAAGTTTTTAATAATGTAATTTACCAACTCAGATGAACTTTCATGCTGATGAAAAGAAGAACCCTAGACAAACGCTTGTTGAGTTTACTGTATGTATCCCAAACATAGACGGCGTGATCTAATAAATGTTTAAGCCTTGTGAAAGGAAAAATATGAGCTTTTGTGCGACATACAAGGTAGGTATAATAGTGTTGAAACCAGTGAGCACTAACAGAACGTCCAGTGTAACATTTTATTACTCTAATCAAAACAGCAAAGCACCCAGCGGTTGTTCAACCATTACACGGAAGAATATCTTTAGTTTATGTACATCTGAAAGGGACACTATGAGTGAAATTCCTCTTCATGGGCCAAAGATTTATTCAGTATCTATACGTCGGTTAGTCAACGGTGCAACTCGATATAAGAAACTCCATCCTGGATCACATATGGCGTAAGATTCTGTTGTGGACCCCATCTGGCGTGTATTTTGTAATTACGTGAAGTGCTTGTAATTTTGCTGGGTTCGTGTTACTACGGGGGTCAAAAGTTGCAGCAATTTAAACCAGGTTGGAGTCAGAAAATCGCGAATTCGGCATCGTAATCGTTATTCTTCAGGTTGTCTCAGGATGTCTGATTGTTCTCAGTGCAAATCAGTACATGTAACATTTCCTTTGTTCCGTAATGAAGTAAAACCTATGGCGAATACAAAGTGTACATGTGTTTATCTGTACCTCCAATTTTCAATTACCAGCATCAATCCGTTGTATATTTCCAACGATCTGAATGTCCAGTACTCGGGTCGATGTCCACCACAGTCTTTCGTGAACGACGTTCGCCAGTCTTCTCGCTCTCCGCAGCAGAGCCTGTCTAATCTTCTTGATCCTGAGCGCGTAGATGAACGGGTTAACCACGGAACCGCAGAATGCGATCAGCAGCCCCCAGTAAGGTCGCGGTTCTGTCGTGCACTGGTCGCTCGCGTGACAGGTGACACCTCTGACGAAGCCGACGCAGACCGGCAGCCAAACGACGATGAACAACGCCGCAATCATCACCACAGTCACCGCCGTCTTCAGTTTGAGTCTGAGCTGGTGCCGTTCTCTCGCGGTGACTCGCTGTTCCCTGCGACGTGCGGCGGGCAGGTTGTCTTGAGGCTCCTGAACTAGTCCCATTCTAGAGAAGCGCTGCTTCAGTACGATGAAGATGCTAACGTTGACGAAGACCACGGCTACCACAGCCACGATCAGAATAATGTTGATCAGTATGAGGTAGTTATCGGGAGAGTTCCTCATACAGTTTTCCTTTTCGTTATCGATGCAGTTCCAGCCCATGAGAGGAGATAGACAGACAAGCGCACAGGCTGGCCACGCGATCCCCAGACTCACGGCAACGTGTCGCCCAGACATGCGGGTCTGGTAGAATATCGGGTGGAATATGGCCAGATAACGGTCCATTGACAGGAGGACCACACCGACAGCTGATAAGACCAACACGAAAAAGAACAAACAGAATAAGGCCAGTGATGTTAGTGGTTGCATGACATTCCCGTACATGATGGCACAGAAGAGAAAAGAGAACAAACCTGCTACACAGTCCGCCACGGCGAGGTTTGCCACGAACATGTACATGGGTTCAGTCAGCTGGTGGTTTCTGAAAATTCCAGACAATACCGCCCCGTTCAGGAGGATACTGGCTGCCCCCACCACGGCGGACGCGATCCCGATTTTCCTGTTCTGGACCTGAAACGGGTCGGGGAGATGCGAGCATGCGGCTAGCGCCAGATTGTAGTCCTCCTCAGTTTCCAGTCGCCACTGGACACACTGCCAGAATGTCTCGTGTGCTGTAAAGTTCTCTTGGGTAAAATTCACCAAGCTGCCGTTCATCTTTGTCCGGGCTATGGAGACAGGCACCTTGTCACAATGATTATGTTGTGGCGTTGAATGGCAGGACACGAGCGGTCATGAGTTCGATCCCTGGCACCCTGACTAGACGCTGTATCCAAGTCACTAACAACCACGTCTTAAAAAAGGCTATGCGGCTGACGATATCGCCAATTTGATACTGTAGTCACCAAAAGATCTGCTTGGAGATTAGAAATGTCCGAATTGATATTTCATCCTCGTGGTTATTAAATCATATCACGCTCTGGTCATTTACGTGTAGGCGCGAAGTGCTCGGATGAAGATAGAATTTCGGTTCACTCCGACTTGTGAAATTACAAGATGTTGATGAAACACTTAGTTAATGCCTATTGGGTTTGGCAAGAAAATTTGCGATAGCTGTTGAAGGTTTATGCTGCAAACTATGATAGAAAAAAAAAAGAAAGAAACACACGCACACACAATGTCACATACATACACAGACACACAGTCCGAATAAATACTAGACTTCTACGATCTCAAATAATCAACATTTATTCTCATAAAATATGTAGATATTATCATGAAAGTTCATCTGTGTTGGTAGTTACATGTTTAAAGTTAAAACTTTTGATCCAACACGAAAATTCTCTCACCTAGAGCTTTCAACCAGTCACTCTGGTCTTCCTCAGTAGACTGACCCAGTGAAGCTTGAACCGCGACGGGAGCCACGTGACAAGCTTCACTGGGTCAGTCTACTGAGGAAGACCAGAGTGACTGGTTGAAAGCTCTAGGTGAGAGAATTTTCGTGTTGGATCAAAAGTTTTAACTTTAAACATATGTAGATATTGTTTCTTTATTTGCGTCATGTACAATGTATTACGATGTTGCCTCAACCTATATTATATCACAAATATTAAACTTTCACCATTGACCACAAAAAAGTACTATTGAATTTCCTCACCTAGCCTGGGAAAAGTAGGATATCCACGGGCAAAGTAAAAACAGTTATATAAATATTGGCCTGAAAGCATGGTTCATACCTTAGTGGTGCATACAATTTTAGAGAGAGAATCGCACATGATCTAGTTGTTCAAATGTTCCTCCTAGTCCTCTGTTTTCATAATATTCATATGGTAGTTCTTACTTCAAACATCTACAAAAAGAGCCCCAGTGGATGGGTCCTAATAATATTTGGTAGGTACTGTACATTGCAGTTGTGGAAACAAAGGTCAAGTTTGAAAACTAATCACCTGGCATTTCCCTACGGTACTGCAGCGAATTTTGTGTTTACTGTGAGTTTGTATCTGTACAATATAACTCAAGAAGCTGTGGATGGGAGGGTATGGTATTTAGTGGGTGGATAGGGACTGCAAAGAGGAAGATCAAGTTCGATAAATAGGCCGCCTAGCAAAAATTCTCCTCAATGATATTACCAGTATTTCTTTTTCAAAAAGAATTGATGACTAAGTCTTACATATACATTACAAATACATAAATGTGTACACAAGATCTGTATCTACCTATGAATAAAGATTCCTGGCTATTGTTGCTTACATTCTGGTCTACCATCTGAAGGCACGTGTACGACTTTATGTGACTTCCGCCCTCTACCAATAGGTCGCCTCACACTTCTTGAATCATCTTCATCATCGTCATCATCATCACTGTCATAATCCCTGCGACCAATCACAGACAACCTACCGACTGGCTGTATGGGGGCATCAAAGCGAACCTTCCTTGAACTGACAAACTCCTCTGTTTCCATGTTCAACTCTTCCTTCATTTCAGTTTGCTTTCCCTTCTGTACATTTTTGGTGCTGATATTGTCAGGGTCAGTAGGGGCATTTTCCTTTGCTGCTTCATTACTGCAGCTCCCCCTAACTGCCTCACTGGGTACTGCGCTATCACTCTCTTTGCTAACATTTGTTGGTTTACTGTTATTGGCAGGACTTTCTGTAGTACTATCATTCCCTGTGGTTTTTGCAGCTGTGTTAGTGCTGTTCTTGACAGCACCACTCACTACTACGCTGTCCCCAGCTATCTTCCCTGCTATTCCCTTGTCAGCGCCGGCAGCTGCAGTCGATGCTGTCTTGTCCTTTGTCTTCCCCAGGGGGATTTTCTCCAACCTTCCAGTTCGAACCTTGGTGCTGTCAAGCAGTTCTGAAAAAAACCAAAGAAATCATAGATTTTAGACTTTCAGAAAGTGTTTTGGGTTTTCGTGAAGGTATTAGAGCAGTGGAGAAGATTGTATGATGTAATACCTCTCATCCTCCATACAAGTACCCTTCTGACAGATGGCCCTCCCCCTCATAAATTATAAAGTAGAGTGGATGCATTCCTCAGGTTCAACGACGTCTATCACACCAGTCCTCCCTGAGCAAGACATCTTGAGCCTCATAGTTCCCATTTAACATTTATCCAGCCTGTCACTGTCCTCTCATTAAAAAACACTGGGCGAAAAGGCATCAGATACATGTACATCCGGATCCCCGTGATCCCAATTTACAATCTCCTTATAATTACGGATGTGTTATCTTCTTGTCTCCATTTCCCCACCCACCTGGTTGATATTTGAGCTTCATGTCCTCCAGCTGCACCAGTAGCTTCATGTTCTGCCCGTGGAGGGACTCAGCCTTGCTCTCGGCCTCGTACAGTTTCCTCTCACAGTGCAGCAGCCTGTCCCTGTCTGCCATCTGCAGGAACTTCTGCTGCTCCAACTGGCCCTTCACTTTTTTGGTCTCCTCCCTAGTACCAGAGTTATCAACCAAGGATTGAAGTGTTAAAAAACTCATTCTTTGTCTGAAAGTTATATCTGTGATAATATGACCAACTACAGAAAAAGAAACATAAAAGAAAAGAGAGAGAAGAAAAGAAAAGAATGTTACTTTGACTCCTTGAGTCTATCCTCCAGGAAGGCAGCGTAGTCTTTGCGGCCTCCGAGCTCGGTGAAGTTACTCTGGTACTGTTCAAAGGTCTTCCTGGGGTTGTTGTCCACCTAAAACAGGTCAACCAGGAGAGATGCATCTTTAATCTTAAACAAAGACCAAGAAATCTGAGATTTCAAACTTAAGAATTAAGTAGATACATTATTACTATTACACCATGGTTTATGTTTCAAACATTCCTGGTGACCACATCTTTGAACCCAGGGCATACCAGGTCAAATCCCTGTCAATCAAGTGAAACCCAATCTCAGCCCACTCACTTTGGAACCCAAACATACAAACCTAGCATGAATTAGCCCCACCCAAAACAATACTTCTGTCCCAGAAGTAATAAATTGGTGCCACCTAACAGTATACTGTAAATCACTTTATGTTTGCGGTAGCAAAAGTTTACGGTCTGAAAAAAAATGGCAGCAGGTGCAGCGAAAAAGCAAGTCGGCAAATTATTTGTTCACGGTAATGATAAGTTCGCGGTACAGAAGTGACCCCGAAAACCGCAAATATAAAATAAAGTAGTGATTTACAGAATTTATTTTTTAGGTTATTCTGCGCATGGAGTTGTGCCCTTACCAGCTCCAGCTGTTTCTCGGTGGCCTTGAGCTTGTTGGACAGCACTTGTGTTTCAGCACGGCTCTGGGACAGCGCCTGTTCCAGCCGCTGGACCTGAGAGGCATCCGCCCGTCCCCCTCCCATCTGTAGCAGGGCAGCAAACTGGGCCTGGAGGAACAACACACCATGTATATCTCAAAATAACATACAACACAGTGACACAAAACATTTAATGCCATATAGACCCCAAGATAACATACACACACATTGACAACACACTTCCTAAGAAAACATATAACACACAGTGACACAACACATTATGCCTTCCTAACACTAGTAACAGCCAAGGGCTAAATTGTGTTTTTTTTAAGTGTGGGGTATGGCTCTCCCCAAACACAGGACCTCCATTTAACGTCCTATCCGAGGGACGGCCCTAACCAAAGCTACATTGTAGATACTCATTTTCACCTGAGTGAAGTGAGGAAAGTCGGGTAAAGTGCCTTCCTGAAGGGCACAAGATTGGTTACATGGCAGGATTCGAACTCAGGACCTCTTGGTTCTGCGCAGAATGCTGTCATGCCACACGACCCCAGTTAACAGTCCACTACCCTTACAGCCTCAACATTTAATGCCATATAGACCCCAAGATAACATACACACACATTGACAACACACTTCCTAAGAAAACATATAACACACAGTGACACAACACATTATGCCTTCCTAACACTAGTAACAGCCAAGGGCTAAATTGTGTTTTTTTTAAGTGTGGGGTATGGCTCTCCCCAAACACAGGACCTCCATTTAACGTCCTATCCGAGGGACGGCCCTAACCAAAGCTACATTGTAGATACTCATTTTCACCTGAGTGAAGTGAGGAAAGTCGGGTAAAGTGCCTTCCTGAAGGGCACAAGATTGGTTACATGGCAGGATTCGAACTCAGGACCTCTTGGTTCTGCGCAGAATGCTGTCATGCCACACGACCCCAGTTAACAGTCCACTACCCTTACAGCCTCAAAAGGTTATGGGACTATCTTTGCCTACCATTATATTTTTGATGACTGAAAAGGTTCTTACTCAAAGTCAAACACATTCACATATATGGTGACATGAGTCTAAATCCCTCCTACTGTAATAGTATAAAATTGCAACATTATGTCACCCATTACCAGTTACCATGGTGACAGATGGTCTAGTTCAGGTCACTGACCAGGTCAGAAGAAGAAACAGAGCAAAAACAAATGATATTTTCCTTCGGTAAATAAAATAATAAACAGATGAATGGAGGTACAGTCTAATATATATACCTTCAACTTCTGAAGCTGCTGCTTTGTTGCCATGTGCTGTTTCTTCAGAGACTCGTGCTGTACCTGTAGGCTGATCATCTTCTTCTCCACAGCCACACGACGGTCCTCCACCTGCACAGGTACAACAAGACATCAGGGATTTCAGACTTTCCAGAAGTCTAAGATATGGTTTGTGTTCATAAATTCATCATAGAATGGATTATTACATGCATATTATACTTTAGGATTGTATGATAAACTAATAGTAATACTTTGCTGTTAACCATGGTACATTTCTGGTGACCACACAGGCCATACAACAGTGTCAATCAACTAAAACCCAATCTTTGCCTATTCACTTCCATAATTGCATGACTTAAACTAACTCGACTACCAGTCTAACTAGACCATCAGGTCTAACTCTGGTATCCAAACACAGAAACCCCCTAAGTCAGCACCACTAAAAACAATACTTCTGTCCTGTAGTAACAAACAAAAAAACTACTCTGTTTACCTCAGCGAAGAGTGAGTTGCCCCGACTGTTGGGGTCTACAGACTGGAGCTTCAGGGCTTCTATCTGTGCCTCTAGTCCCAGGATGTCCTCACGACTTTTCTGTAGAGGAAGAACCACAGTTAGAAACGTCATACTGTAAGCGTAGATGTATGTCAGACTGACTGATACTATAAATAGAAAACAGTGCAATCAATTCTTATACTGCCTTCTCAAGTGGGTTTGAAACTGGTAAGAAAACTCCACGATTGACTTACAACTGCAGCATAGACTCCATCATAAGACTGATTTTTTTTTCCTAGGCCTTACCTCCAGTGCATTGTAGAAGCCTGTTGCCTTCCTCTCTGTCTCCTGCAGCTCGTGCTGGAGTGCTGCGGAGTTTTGCTGCAGCTTGTCCAGGCTGAAGCGCAGCTGCTGCACTGTGTCCTCCGAGTCCCGCAGCTGCAGACCTAGGTTTGTCTGCACAAGTGGTCGTGGAGTTATATTATTAATTCTAACCTAACTTTCACGCATATACAAATGAAAACTACTCTCTTCTTAACTTCCAAAAACCCACAAATTACAGAAAAAGTGGGATCTTTTGTCTTCCTCTGTCTTAAAAAAAGAAGTCAAACCCAGTAGTTTTTAGGAGTTATCAATAGTTCTCTGTGTATTAATTGCCTGTTCTTATATCAATGTTTCTTCTGTATGTCTTGCAATTAGCCGTCAGGCATGAATATGCAATCAAACAATTATTATTGTTATTTTACTATACTTACTAGTACTTTTGTACAACCAAAAGAACTCTACTTTTTAAAAAAAATGGGAAAATCTGATCATGAGAAGCAAGAAGATAACTGCTGTGTCCTGTTCACCTTGTCAGTTCTTAGTTGATCCAGCTCCAGTTGTAGTGCCATGGTGTCCTCTCCCAGGCTGATGGACATGTTAGGGTCCCTTCGCTGGCTCTGGGCCTCAGACAGCAGCTGTTCCTGCTGTTCCACCTTGTCTCGCAGCTGCTGTTCCAGCATGGCAGCTTCCTCCTGGGAGTTTTTCAAGTCACGAATCTGGTCCTAGAGTCACGAAACAGGGACAGGGCTTTTTTTATAGATTTGCTCAGGTGACCAGTAGCATGTGCAAGGTTGGAGCATGTCAGTGTGTAATTAAATAGTACAAGAATTCATGACCAGTGAGTGTTGTAAATACCAATTAGATTATGTACAAATGCATTTACATTATACAATCACATTTAGACTAGAAGTACATCTACATATATATTTACATATAAAAACCCAAAACACTTCTCAGAAGTCTGAAATTTACGTCTTTTTGAGGTTTTCAGACACTTTAACTTAAGACTTTCTGGGCTTCCACTTTAACTAGAGACTTCCATGAAGCACTTACAGTGAGAGTCTTGACTTTGTGAGCATGCTCAGTCATGAGCTGTTCCCTTTGCTGTCTCTCCTTGGCCACCTCGTCCCGCCGCTGTATGTCCAGGTCAGCGATCTGAGCCTCCAGCTGTCCCCGTACAGCGTCCACTTTCAGCTGCAGACTGTACTTCTCCTGTTCCAGGGACTGTACAACACAGTGATGGGAGAGAAATACTTCTTTTTCGGTTAGGCTATGTTTATTTGATTATGATTTATATGGATGACATCCACTGGGAACCCCCAAACTGTTGCGAGCGTGCGAATACTAGTAAAAAATAACATTTGGCAAAAAAGGTGCCTTCGTTATGAAAAATATGCGGTCATAACGGTTGAACAAGCGACTTTAATTTTTAAACACACAGGGTATGGTATGGCAAATAATAGGCTCTTGATTTTCTTCGATTTTCTTCCTTTTCTTTGGAATTAATTTTGTCATTCCTATGACATTAGAATCACTTCTGTGCTCATTTTGCAGTGCTTTGTACGATTTACAATATGGAAGAAAACTTTTGGTACAGTGCTGCAACAGCTATATAGCAAAATTAATATTATAACATGTCAGGGCTTGAAATCCTTTTTTTTTTCTTCTGCATACCTGCACTTAAAAAGTGTATGGACCCAATTTTACCTGGGTGCATATGAGGACTGTATTACCCAAAAAAACAACACTTTTCTTCCTACTTAAGTAATAACTAGTACAAGTTACAACTGTATTTTGAAACCTCAATCTTCTTGGTGTAGTCCTTGTGCACTCCCTCCAGCTGCAGCTGTAGCTCGCTGTTGGCCTCCAGCAGCTGTTTCCCTGCCTGTGCAGCCAGGTGCAGGTCTGCCTCGTTGTTACGGAGTTTCTCCCGTAACCGACGGACATCCTCCTTCAGCTGTGGAACCTCATCCATGGCAGTCACCCTTACGTCAACAATGGCACCTGGCACAAGACAGAGATAGGCCTAGGAAAAAATGTTGTTTCCTGTTTCCCGATCAACCCTAGAAAAACCTGCCGACCCTAGACTTTTTTGGGGTGGACCCCTGCAAATTTTTCGAGCTGATTGACATTTTCTAGCTCTATGATCTGTGGGCTACTTTGGAGAATGTTGTAAAGCGAGTGCTCCTCCTCCTTTCAGAGAGAAGAGGCCACTGCAGGTCATTGAGCATTTGTGACACACTGCTAGTTCGCCTGTAGTCATTAAGGGTTACCCGGGCGGGGCGCATGCGCTGGACAGACAAGGGTGCGTGGGATTTGACACCGGTTAGGACTTCGTTGCAAACTGAAAGAATGTAAAATTGTGTTATGATGGGGTGTCTTTTACAGGTTAACTTAAGTGTAGAATGTGACATTTAGAGGGAGTAAAGCCTAAAGGCAGTATTCTATAAAGGTTAGCCTGGTCTCCTCTACTGGGCTAACTTTGGGCCTAGTGACGTATTGTGCTATGGGTTGAGCATCCAGGCTATGGTTGGCCCTGGAGCCACAGAGCTGGGCTGTTTAGTTTACACCCTTGCAAACAGTCTGGCACCCGGCTAGAGCACCCATAGCCGCGGCGACTGTTGCAGGGCTTCTCTTGCTTGCAGTCTTTTACATATTAGCCCTAACAACAGGCTAATGTAAAAGACTGCAAGCAAGAGAAGCCCTGCAACAGTCGCCGCGGCTACCCCTCCCATAATCAAATATAACAGACATCATGGCACGTCATGTCTTTAATAGTTCGCACTGACAGCAGTTCTGCTTATCCTAAGTCCTCTTTTCAATAACTACATATACAGTATTAAGGAAAAGTTGCTTTCTTACCAAGAAACTGTCAGCCAGACCGCTCGTTTATGAACCCAAGTTGGCCCGAAATTTTCTTCGTCACAAAATAACTTTTCAAAATGGCGGCGCGACGGTCTGTGGCCAATCACACACTAAAACGTCATTGGAAGAGTCCATTCTTCTGGAGGTGTGTCAATGTGGGTCAGATGGGGAGGGACCATAGCCATAAGTAACATTATCCTTCTTTTTTTTTTTTTTTTGCAATTTACGTCAAATATTTGCTATATCATGCAACTGCTTTGTGCGATTTACAGTATGCTCAAAAAAAATGTTTTTTTTTTTTTGGAAACACACGAAAATTCATGCAGGCGCGGATGTCATCCATATAGTCAAAAATTAAAATTTGAATTGAATTGTCCCTTTTTTTAGAAGTCACCAAAAAAAGCGCAACTCGCGAAAACGCCGGCAGACTCAATGACAGGCAGCAGATATAACTAGTAACATTATTATTAGATATTTTTTGTTACAGCCTTGGTTGCTACAACGTTTTTCATTAACATATATATCTTGTTATTCTTCTGCGGACTGGAACAAACTGCCAAAAGTAAGTTAGAGTGTTCTTTTCCAATTGAAGAAACGGGAGACTCAGTGCAAGTTGCCAGGTTTTTATTCCACGTATCCACTCTCCGGAATCCTGTGACAGACTCACCCCTACCCCTCTGGAATGCCTTCTCTGACCTAGATATTCCATTCCGGGCTTAACCATTACTTATCAGGGGAGGGTACAGATCTACTGGCTTGCAATTTTCTCTAGCATGTAACACAAAGTACATGTAGTTCATGATATGATAACGATAAGCAGTAATGCACTGTGCTATAGATGAGGTTTAATATTATTTAGATGCTTTCCTTTTCTGCATGAGTCAGCTCCTCACCTGTTCAAGCCTATCGTGTGATTATGAATGACACATGGGTTTTCTCATCTCAAGATAACATACATGTAGTACAAGTAACGGGGGTACTTCAATAGCTCCATCAAATATCCATATCATACAAATCTACATGCTAACATCATTGATGTACAGTTAAAATTCCTGACTGAAGCTTTACCGTGCAAACTCTATTCACACATACAGGCTCAACTTTTGAACCGTCCATATAGGTGTTACCTCCAAGATTGTCTCCAGATAGTCACCCGAGGCATTAAGAATTGGCACAAAGTGTGTTTTTCCATCTGTATTAAGTGCTTTAGTCTTATAAGACTTTCAACTGTACATACAGACTTGAGATCTAACATATACTTGACAAATTAAAGAAGGAATTTGTTAAATCTAACATTGGTCTCGAAATAATAAAAACCAACACATTCTGTTTTCAGTGGACTGACTAACATTCAATTACGTACGAAGATAGAAGTGACATTGACCACAAGGTCAACATATTCTGACCTGCATCTATCCATGTTAGAACTGATAAAATAAGAACAGATATGTTTCATTAGATAAATAAATTTGTCTGTACTACTTAGTTGTATGAACTTGAAGTGTATGAAGTAGGGAAACATGGGCTGTATCTGACTGTAAAAAAAATCTGTACTCTCTTTGTTGTATAATTTACATTCTATTACAAAATGTTTCTCATCTTTAATTCCAGGGGAATGATGAGAAACAGTGTTATGCCGAATTGTGACTAGCATTGTACAGTACTGGTTCTTTACATTCCATTCATTACATCTCATATGTAGATTAAACCATGGAGGTAAAAAAGAGATTACCTCCATGATTAAACTTAGGAACATTTGAAAAAAAAAATGCATTAATTCCTTGTGTTAATTTTTTCTAGTTGGTTCTACTGTGGATGGTAAGCTTGAGATGTTTTACATTGGTGCTGAGAATTCCGACGCCTGTCGCCTACAGACGCCCTGAAACACAAGAACAGAATATTCGGGGATAAGAAGTGAATGATTTAGTTAAAAACCTTATGGCACCAAAACAAGTCTGTGAAATACAGATGTGTATCGAAAGTATCATACAATATAGTCACATGAATTTGCCAGTTAACAACATCACTGCTAAAGCAAACAGACATTGGGACTGATTAAGCCAATATTGGTATCATGGTTTGTGATGATGGTCTACCACCTAAGTCTGACAGATACTTGAGCTGTGCCGTGTTTACTAGCTATAGATGAAAGGTTTCAGGAAATAGTTTGGGTACGATAGTTACCTGGCGCAACCTGGCATATGAAGTTAAATGGCTTGTCGCATTTGTCGTCGCTCCACTTGTCTTTCCACTCTGGGCGTGCGGAGTAAAGGACGCAATCTCCAAGGTTGTTCGGTTGTCCCCGACCCCAGGAGCTGTACGACCCACGTGGAGAACCGTCCACCCACACAAACTTTCCCTCTTTGCGCTGAAGACCGAACCGAAAAGCATAACCGTCGCTCACGGGCTTGTACAGGGAGATCAGGAAGGCGTCGGTCTCGGCGTCTCGGGGCATGGCGAGGGTGCCGCCGTCTTTGCCACAGGTCGCGGCGGCTACGCTGAAGTTCCTCCCAGCGATGAAGGCCTTGTAGCAGATTCCACGCCACATTGTGTAACCTCCGGGACAAGATGCTGGAAAAGTTTTATATCAACAAGGCCAAGGATGGGTCAAGTTGAAAATCATTATATGCATGCAATATATATGTGATATTCATCCACAATAAGTCTACTAGGTTGTATTCGATATCTTAATATAACTTAATAACTCAATATGTGTAACGATATCCGCATGAACTGTTTTTATTTGTTTATTTATTTGGCTTCACCACTAGAAATATACAAGTGGAAGGGGGGTGCAAAACAGGTGTATGAACACCTTTGCAAGTTGCCCTTTTAAAATTATGATAGTGGCAAATGACTGACATAAAAACGCCAATATAACAGCTGAAAGCCAATTTACGTGAATTCTTCCCAATTTCGTGAATACGCTTTTCCAATGCGGCGATTCGGCTGCGTTCGTTGTCCAGGTCGCGCTTCAAGGCGTCAACAGTGGTGGACATGCCGTCTTGGTCGCGCTTCAAGGCGTCAACAGTGGTGGACATGTTGTATTGGTCGCGTTTTACGGCGTCAAAAGTCGTCGAAATTTGAGATATTTCCTACAAACGTGTACATACGTGCGTCAGAATACCAAACGTAAGAAACAAACTTACGCAAAACAGCAGTAAATTCCTTTTTGTATCCTCTTTTAAAAGCAGAGGAATTACAAAATAGCTGGCCAACAGGCTTTACGGTACAATACTGTTACCTGTTTGTTGATGAACGTCAGAGGGGCGAGTCCCACACAGACAAGGCTTAGCAGCACGGCGATGCCGGCGGCCAGACAGCTGCGGTTGGCGCGGAGGAAGCTACAGACGCCACGGCGGCCGCTCGCTCCACCCGGATACGTGCGGTCTAGTAAAAAAAAAACACTTACCAGAAACCAGAAATACCAGAAGTATACAGGCTGGCTTAACTGTCGTGTAACCGAAATGAAACGAAACCTACAGTGGGTGCCGCTGAAACACAGACGAAAAATGTCCAGACTATGCATGATGCATATAATTTATGTAATAAATGACTACAGGTGTACGTGCCAACCACTAACTACTAGTATCTGATACCAGCCCAGATTACGAAACAGTCATGCCTTCAAATATCAGAGTTATCAACCAAGAACTATCGTAGATTGGAACTCGTTGCCACCAAGGACAGTAGGGGCATCATCACTAGAAAGCTTTAAACAGCCACTGCTGCAATGAAATGTGCAGACAGAAATTGGGTGTAACATGTCGCTCGCTGTAATGTAGCCAGCTGCCGCCGCGCCGCGTGCCTGCGAAGCCGGTGCGTTACGCCAAATGGAGGTTATACCGGCTATACTGCACCCTGATACAGAAGTATGTATTAGCCGGTACGTAAGCGAGTACTGTAAATACTGGCCTACCTTCTCTACAGGAATATTGTCTACCTATACATGTACATGTACAAATATTCACCGTGTAAAAGACGGACTTATTAAAGCGTCGGTTACCTGTTGACGTGTGCGGCGCGTGACGTCTCACCGCCTCGGCTTCTTCGTACGTGTGTGAAGACGCTTCTTCGTCTTCTGGCTGCTTGTCCGGAGCGTCGTTGCCCTGGCGGACATGCCCGCGTGAGCCACCTTGGTGGACGGGACGGGACCGGGGTGGTGGCCCGCTGGTGGGGCCGGAGAAAGAAGGCCGGACAGCCTCTGCCTGCTCGTACATTCTACCGTACTGTATTAACTGTGGCAAAAATCTTGCATATACATAATAATACCTTTATTAGTCTGGCTGCGTAAGCTCACATATGCCTTTTATATTTGGAAGGATAACGTGGCATGAGGGGTTTGGTGAGATGGCGTGAATGTAGCGGCGGCAATTTTCAATGTGAGAAATAAACCTATCACTACTAGCGTTACATGTTCTACTACGAGTAATATTTTCCCTTCTTTTCTTCCGCTCAAATTATGACAAATATATCTTTTTATGGATAATTATTTTCCATTGTATTGTTTTTTTAGGTTCTTTTCCAATTCTAGTCTGGAGGGAAGCAAGGACATATCCTTGAGGAAAGTAAATACAATGTATATGCGCCATTTTTTAAAAAAAGGAGACAGAGCGGTCCCCAGCAACTACAGACCTGTTTCACTGACCTGCATATCCTGCAAACTTCTTGAGCTGCATGAACAACTATAAAGGGGTGCTAATGTCACGGAAATGAAAAGAAACCTACAGTGGGTGTCACTGTTAGACTGAGGAAAAATGTATACAGACTATGCATGATGAGCAAAATGACTAATAAACTGGTGGACGTCCCAGTACCAGCCCAGAAGAGAACAAGAAATAGCCATGCCTTCAAGTACCAGAGTTATCAACCAAGAACTGAGGTGTTCAAAAATTCATTCTTTCCTAGAACTATTGCAGAGTGGAAGTACAGTAGGGGCATTGTCACTGGATAGCTTTAAACAATATTTGGATGTTCAAGGGTTGAGTGTAACAAGTTGTTAGGTGTAATGTAGCCAGCTGCCACCACGCTGCGTGCCTGCGAAGCTGGTGTGTTGCGCCAAAGGGTGGTTATACTGGCTATGCGGTACAGATAGTCAATTAGAGCCTTTTTGGTGTACCAAGATTTCATTTTTCACACAACCAGTTACAGTGAAAATCAGTGTAAGGCTAATAAATACATTAGGAACTGGATAACAAAGTTCTTTGTACAGTCTGGTAGTACATGTCGTACCTCTCACTTAGCTAGGTGGCGCTGTTGTACCGTGAAGAATGCAGTCCCAAACAGGTTGAAGGAACTTTGCCAACATGATGAAACTTGTGCGTAACAGTTAAACATACTACCAGTCTTTGCAGTGCGTAATTACTTTCAGTACAGCTCTTTTAGAATATGCACATTAATGTTGAACTATATAACACAACTGTGACTTCACCCATATAGTGACTCTCTAGGTACAAAGCATGATTGTTTAAAGCTCTACTTGGTCCAAACTTACCTCACAAAATATACACAATACAATCTTCGATGACACAACTGCATATAGAATACCGCTAAGTGGGTCATCTGGCGACAAAACCGCATCACCCTTGCTCACAGTCTAATACCAACTTCACCACGCCTGAAAATACTGTTTTTTCTGTAAATTGAAATCACTAGGCAATGGGGAGCAAAACTTTCTGTGACAATAATGCAATTCTGGCAATATACTACGCACTTAGGCCCACACCGCATTGGACTGGGAACAGTTAAACAGTGTTGTTTGTTTAAGGCTATTCAAACAGAATACTTTTGTCATATATTACTACCATGACTCTAGTTTTGAAAATATACAATCTGTTTGATATCATAGCAGCTCCTAAGAGTTCAATACAAAAGCCCACACTTTCTATCATAAAATAAATGATACAGAAACATTCTTTTGTGACAGCACCAATACCAAAACAGCATAAATCTAAACACAACACATCTATAGACTTTTCTAAATACAATAAGACAATATTTTTACAATATTTCTTGCAAGCTGAAGCATTTGTTTCAAATCCACTGTCAGAACATGAATGATTGAATGTTTTACTGCATTCTCTGTAAAAGTTGTCTTAACATCAAGTCAATCCCTGCATTTTCATATGAGGACAAAAATATTTTTAAAGAAATATACATTAAGTATCTTACAAGCAATGTACATTTTGTGTAGTATAGTTGTTTCTCTAGTTAAAGATATGGGACTATTCCAAATATTTCCCGGGGGGGGGGCAGCAGTGTGGAAAATGCTTGATGAAGGAATCAGTACAACATGTGAGAAATTTTGAATGGGAAAAATGATATGCCTTTTATTTAAAAAAAATGAAGAGGACTAATTAAAAAAGATTGTGAAAAATTTTGGTTTAGGCCACTTAGCCCTAGCAACTACTAAATGCAGTACAAGAAGTGTGTCAAAGGTCGCTAGGGGTCGTTCTGTTGGAACATGGGTGTGTCAAAGGTCACAGGGGTCGTTCTGTTGGAACATGGGAAACACGTTGACGAACAGGAAGGTGACGATGGCGCCGACACACGAGCCGGCCTGCATGACTGCCCCACAGTACAGCAGCGCCCTCTGTCCCTCCTCGCGGAAAATGGACCCGATCGTCACCTTCACGTAGGAGAACAGCCCCACGACGGAGATCCACGCAAAGACCTGAGTAGAAGGGAGGAAACAGGGAAACAAAACGTCAAATATATAGACAGAACTTCATTTCGTCAACACAACAAAAGTACAGCAGCTTTCGTAAGGTCTATAACTAAACATACACTACGTACCAGACAGACGACGTCACGTGGGTATAAAAGAATTAACATACATAGAAGACTTAAAGGATCTGACCTCAAAATGATTAGGTTTTGGGGCCCATGTAGTGGTTTGTTTGTTTTATTCAGAGGCCCACAAAAGTACACATCTGGTATTAAGTCACCATGCAAACTTACTTACAAGATTAACTACATAGACAACCTCAGAACAGACACCAGCCTAGCAGAAGTAGGGGAAATCCGGTCTCTGATGGAGGACAGAGTGGGATGTGGTGCATGCTTTCAAGTTTGGTTTGAATGGGAGCTTGATCAAAGTAAAGTACTTTAATAAGTAAGTTAAGTTTAATTAGAATCTGCTGACAGAACTTACCACCAAGAACACGCCTCCGTCCGTCCCCAGCAGTACAGGGTAGGGGCTCATGGCCGCGAGTGCCAGGATGTACGCCCCCACGGCTGTTCCGGCCAGCGACAGCACCCCCACCAGCAGGAAGGACGTGGTGGGGAGGAAGAAGGAGATGAAACAGGCCAGCGGGTTGGCCATGTTGGCCAGGGTCACGGCCAGGTGGTAGGCGGTGTTTCCGTACGGGAGGCAGGAGTAGGACTGGATGGAGGGGAGGACGCCGTTACTGAGGGCGTTCACCCAAGCCTGGACACACAGCAGGTAGATGTAGCCTCCTCGTGACAGCCCTTTCTTCTTCCTTATCAGAACGTCTACGTCCCTCTCACTCGAGGTAGGAGTGTTGGAAGAGCTGTCCGTTTTGGCGGACATCTCGACACAGTCGCTACAGGGGCTGTAACTGTTCTCGCCGTCGGGGACGGCCTTGTACGCCGCGGCCTCGGTCGTCCGGACGTGCTCCCTCCTCGCCGCGGGAAGGTAGTTGAGCATGACGAACGCGATCCCGCACACCAGCATCATGGTGAAGAGGAACCAGAAGAAATCCTCCACGGGGAAGTTGGGGTCCTTGGTGACGTAGACGTTGTGATACTCGGTGACGTTCCTCACGGTTCCGTTCACGACGGTGGAGTTGACGTAGGAGACGTTGCGACACTCCGGGTTGCCCCCCACCCCCTGGCCCAGCGCGACCAGGCTGGGGAGGAGGCCGCTCATTCCCTCCCCGATGAAGAACGAGGTGAGGTACGGACCGGAGAAGAGCGCCATGAAGGGCAGGAAGGTGACGGACGACGTGCAGTCCACGAACGCCAGCAGGAACGTGAGGGTCAGCAGCGCGGTGCTGTGGTCCGCCCCGCCCACGAAGCTTGTGTGCTTCCAGAAGAACGGTAGCAGCATGCATGATATCGTTCCCAAGGTGACGATGGCGTAGATGACGGCCTTCGGGCTGACTCTCCTGGGAGCGAACACGCTGGCCAGGGTGACCGCGATTGGTCCGACGTTGGCCAACTGGATGATGACCGCCAGGTAAGACGGCAAGCTCCACCCCTCGGGGGCGTGCTGGACTATGATTGGCAGCTCCACCCACAGGCCGTTGATCGCGATCCAGGACCCGACACCGAACAGACACACGATCAGGTACACAGGAACACTGATCCTGGCTTTCTCTACCATGGCGGTGTCTTCAGTTGGTTCTTCTTGTTTGGGCATGTTTGGTGTTTGTCAATCTTCCTCCAGGGCTTGAACAAGGCAGGCACCTATTGGGAAATACAAGGAAAATGCCATTAAAATAAACATTCGCATAAAACCAATTAATTTGAAGAAGTTGTTTGTCATCAGTTCTTTCTAGATACATGTATTGAAGTTACAATTGGCCAGACAAATTGTTCCTAACAGTCAATATCTATACAGATAAAATTTAAACCCAGTCCATGGACCAGTGTAGGCTAATACTTTTAGGTGTAGGTGCATGCAAATTGGAAATACCTGCACAGCTCCAATTTTACTTGCATAAAACTGCGCATATACCCAGTACATGGACCAGTGCAGGTTAGTTGGAAGGTAGATATCAGAAATACCTGCACTAACCTGCATATACAGGTATATATATATATACTCCCTATACCTACCTACCTAGACCTAGTTCCTCCACTTCCTATGCAGAATACTGGACAGTTAACTTGCTTCTCCAGACAAGCGGATTACATATGTACATATGAACAAAGGCTGACCCTTTGTTGACCCAGATGAACACATGTCCTGCCACCTGACAACCTGAGATCACATGTAGGTCCACACCTGTCTTGTGACACACTTAGCTATAGGTTTGCCTGGGGGCAAAACTGTAAAAAGACAAACAAACCAGGAGTGCCATGGCATTGTACATTTTCCTACAAAAATTTGGAAGAAGAAGAAACTGCTTGCTACGTACATAATGCCTTTGCTTTTTTAAATGTATATTTTAAGTTACATGTGTATTAGTTTTCTTCACACATACTGGACCATTCTGATACAATTCAATTCAAGCTGTACCATTTTGATACCACCCAAATACAAGTACGTTGCACGTGCCAGTACTCACATACTAGTATTTGTATATCTACTAAAGGTCATCTCTTGAGTTTGCGTAGCTACTGGCAGCAGTCACGTTTATCAAACAACACACGGCTGACCCTCTGGTCAATGGTCCAAATCTACTGGACCTTTCTGATAAACATCTTGTACTGTAATTACTAAATATCAAAGGGCAGAATGGATGTAGGTCACTTTGCAAAATAAACACTTTGCAACAAACAAACACTTCAACCTGTGATATTTTCCATCATTGTTGCCGCTCTCATTGCATTTATATAATTTTCACTTTGCTTTGCAATTCTTCAGTTCTTCTAAGCTAAGTTACCCTTGAATAACCCCTAAATGGGGTATAACTGAAGGGGGGAGGGGTAGTGTGCGGTTAAGGCAGGGTGGCTGTCAACCCAGCCTTAAAAAGGTCTTTGGGGTTGACAGTTTATTCCACTCGCTTTAATATATAACGTCATGTGAAGAAAAAAAAAAAAGGAAAACTGAAAACAATCTTATACTTGAATGTATGAATGTAAAACTTTATGCGTAGTAATTAATTAGTTAGTTGATGATCCAAATTTTACGGTCTACCTACCTAAACTTTAGTAAACCCAAAAACAAAGACCTCAAGGTGACCTTTGCAACATCATTTTGTTTCGAGTTGGGAAATCGTCGAGCTATAAAAAAACACTTGTTTCGTACTCAAACTGGGGTCGGTACGGATCTTAAGGTTTGCCAATTTAATTTGATCGATCTAGTTTTATAGTACACACAGTCAAGATATCTGATGTAATCATGGATATCTGTCACGGCTATGAAAGATGAAGTGCCTTTTTAAGTGTCCTTTTCGTCTGAACACATACTTTCGCCTGATCGTAGGAGCAACAAGCAGAAAGCAATCTGTGACCGAACGACCATGTGCTATACACGGATCAAGTATTTTCATGCCGCCCGGCCTCTACGTATTATTTTTCACAAAAGGACGTTACATAAAATTCGCAAGAGCGTTCCTCAAAAACCAAGTGTGGCGCATTTCTGATATAAAAAACTATCATACTTACTGAGAAACGTGACTGTGTTGTCTCAGAAAATACGGAAGAAAACGGCAAAAACGTTTTATCTCCTTCCTTCTTTGCCGGAAAGACACCAACGTGTGGTCGTCACCTTGGGCGTGTAACCTTTGACATGTGACGTAATGGCTTACATCATCATTCAAATATAGGGAGATTTGTTAATAAAATAAAAATGCATGACATGTCTTTAGTGGATACAACTTTGCCAAGTATTCAACTTATATGGTTCTATTGTTTCAGTGTTAAAAGTATTGACGTTTATTTCTTCCTTATAATACTCTAGTATATGTGTAAAAAAACTTTTACTACACCCCTATTTCGGTAGTGGTATAGTCTTTTTTCACAAGTCTCTCCAAAATGGCGGCCAGAAAGCGAAAGTTTGCGGACGCCGTTAAAAATGAGGCGTTTTCTGGCGCAAACGGCGCCGCAAAACATCCCAGATGGTCTCCGGAGGACTTCAGAGAGTGGACTGTGAACGACGTCTGCAACTTTCTCACCGAAAACGGACAGAGTGGCGATACAGTCGAGGTCTTCAAACGTAGGTTCTGACAGCGACTTTGTAAAACTTGTCAAATATATCTTGCTTTTTAACCCCCATGAGCTAACCATAGAAGAGTTCAATAGTATGTTTCTGTATTGTATTTAATCTTTTCTTTGTCTATTATTCATAGAATAGAGGTTACAGATGTAAAATTGTAACTGACCAAGGAGCATCAGACCAAGGAGCCAAGAAAAAAAGAGTAGACAAGTTCAAAGTTCACAAACAACAGGAACAAAGCTCATAGAAAATTCAAACTCTAAAGGGAGGGATCCAAAGTCCGGCATAGTTTGAAAGATTATTATTATCATGTTATGTATGGGTGAATGCATTAATTTTCTTCTTTCCAACCAACCATATGCATGTGACTTGTACAGGTGAGGAGATATGTGGAGCTGTATTGCCAGAACTTACCGAAGAGAGACTGGAGAAAATGGGGTTCAGGTGAGCACTGTACTTTAGCCTCTTTCAGACTTTGTATGCAAATGATATTCAGGTAATTTCCATGTATTGGCAATCACTCGTGATCCTTATTGTACAGGTGTGTTAATTGCCATCATTGTTGTTGTTTCAGAACAATGGGAAAAAGACTACTGCTGATGAAGCTGCTAGACCGGTTCAAACTCGTTCCAGTCTCACTGGAGAACTGCAAGGTATTAAAACAAGAAAAATAAAGAAAAAGTGAAAAAAAAATTGTATAAAACAAGAAGTTGAGACCTTGTACCTACCTCCTAAAATATTCAGAGCTGTTTTGAATTTCTTGCTAGTTCTGCCATGCATTTTCCCTCTGGCTCTCATAAGGCAACAGATAGCAGGAAAACAGGAAGTGAAATAACCTTTTCTGGGACCTTTGACCTTGTGCTGTCAGTGTGCTCAGTATTTCTAACATGCAGAAACAAACAAACAGACACAGTGAAAACAAAACCTACACTGCAGAGATAATCACCAGTGTAACTAGATTATTATGTATCTATATCCAACTATTTGCACATATGTATGTAAACTGAAGTCTCCATATCTCTCTATTCCAGATTTTCAATGATCCAATCCACGGCCACATAGAGATGCACCCGCTCTGTATCAAGATCATTGACACGCCACAGTTCCAGAGACTGAGATTCATCAAGCAGCTGGGAGCATGTTACTGGGTCTTCCCTGGTGCCTCTCATAACAGATTTGAGCACTGCCTGGGGTAAGAAGTGTCATTCGAAGTGGATGTTTAGTGGTTTGTCTGTGATACAGTACTAGTATATGTTTACGCCTTTATTTTATTTTGTACAGTTGCATACTGAGCCTGGGTTCCAAACCCATAGCACACTGGACACAAAGTATCTCAGTGAGCCTGAGATACTAGTATTTTGTGTCCAGTGTGCTATGGGTCTGGAACCCAGGCTAACAGTTGCACTACATACCATATATTTTGAAACCTACCAACCATGAATTCTTGACACTGGAGATATGCTTTCCTTGTGTGACTTGAGCTACAATACAGAATTGTTTCAATCGCAAATTTAGCGTAATTTTAAAATTAGCGGGTGGTCTTAAATGATACTAGACCGTATAGTGAGTGAATGGCCTGATACATGTATGCAAAAATAAATTAGAACACTGAAAAAAAAAAGCTAGAACACTGCGTTGCATTACCATTACACTAGAATAAAATCCTGGGTAGACCGCTGCAACATTTCCTTAAGTTTACATAAGAAGTTGAAGGAGCCTGAATGTTTGTGTTCCCCCCTGCAGTGTGTGTCACTTGGCTGGATGTCTGGTGAAGACCCTGAGGAAGCGGCAGCCTGAGCTGGGCATCAGTGATGTGGACATGCTGTGTGTGGAGATAGCAGGGCTCTGTCATGACTTGGGTAAGGCAAAAACCTTCAACCGTATTGTGTGGCCTTTGAAAAAAAAAATCTAATGGCTCTCGGTGGCAAATGTGCAGATGTTGGCACATTGGCACACCAAATCCGTAGTGTGTTTTTGGCACACAGTTAGAGGCTCGGTGGGTGTCACACCTTTCCCAAGGGCACACGTCGGGCGGCTCAGGCCACAGTGAGTATTGAACCTGGGACCTATTGGTTCCGAGTTCAACCCTCTAACCGTTGCGCCACCGACCCCACAGTGCTCAAATTGTGTGGCCATTAGTTACTAGTACATGTAATAGTATCACTGTAACTTACTCTATGTTCACGGTAGCAAAAGGTAGCATTCTGAATAAACTGTATGTTGTGTTTGACCAGGGCATGGACCATTTTCTCATTTCTTTGACGGACAGTTCATCCCTTTGGCCAGACCGGGCTTCAAATGGAAGGTTTGTTTGTTTTGTTTGTTTGTTTGTTTGTTTGTTTTTGTTTTTTCATTAAAGAAGGTACATGTTTGATAACAGTGTTTGTATCACATCCGTGAATAGTTTCATCAGGATGGTAAGAGACTGAGTATAGAGACTTTTTTTACACAACCAAGTCTTTTATTCAGCCAACGTTTCGGTGACCGTCTGTCACCTTCCTCAGGCGGAATGAAAGACCTGGCTGTGTAAAAAGAGTCTCTTTACTCAGTGTTTGTATCAATTGTAATTAATCTGTAATACATGTATAATATTTCCCCAGCACGAGCATGCGTCTGTGCAGATGTTTGACCACATGATTGAGCAGAATGACCTGAAGAACGTGTTTCTGGAGTACAACGTCGGGGAGAGGGACCTCCTCTTCATCAAGGAACAGATCGCAGGGCCGCTGGCCGTGGCCAGGGACCAGGTCAGTCTACATAGTGCTGCGTTCCTTAAAATGTAACATTTAAAAGGTGGCAAGGTGGTCTCATGGTTGTTGACTCAGAGTCCAAAGGTTCTGAGTTCGAATCTCTGGCAGGCCCCATCGTAGTGTTCTTGGCAAAGGCACTTTACACATATTTGACTCAGGTGTGAATGAGCCTCATAGTTGTTACAATCTGTTGTTTTATAAATTATATCTTAAGGAATGAGCTTAGATTTCCTCTTGCTTTTCTGATGGTTCTTCATGTTTGTTTGTTTCTCTTTTCAGGCATGGCCATACAAAGGCAGAGACCAAGAAAAGAGTTTCCTGTATGAGGTAAAGATAATGATTAATACTTTACGAGAAATTTAGGGTTACCATAACCCTAATTTAGGGTTACGCTAATCCTAATTTAGGGTTATCTTAATTTAACGTTAACACTGATTTAAGTTGATAGGTTAAAGAAGCCATTAAAATTTGAGTGTATTCCTTAACCTGGATGTGTCATGTTTCCTGAAAGGTTGTAGCCAACAAGAGGAATGGTATTGACGTGGACAAGTGGGACTACTTTGCGCGGGACTGCCACCACCTGGGCATCTCCAACAAGTTTGACCACATGCGCTTCATGAAGTTCGCCCGGGTCATCAGTGTGGAAGGGCGCCGGCAGATCTGCACCAGGGACAAGGTATGTAGGAAATACAGCAGGACTTAGGCTGTAACAATTTAAATTGTTGGTTCTCAGATTCTCCTGCTGCATGTGGAGATTTTGAGCCCTGTATAGGACTGTTAAATTATTGTTTCCATCCAAAACAGGGCTTGAAATTCTACCATCTATCATATATGCAAGTTACCAGGTAGACTATTGCAGGCAAAATTGCACTGACTGTTAAGTACACAGTCTGAAATCTCTGTTCTTTTGTACCTGATGTGAAATCCATGTGTTGCAGGAATGTAGTAACCTGTACGACATGTTCCACACTCGGAGCAGCCTCCATCGCAGAGCCTATCAGCACAAGGCTAACAAGTGTGTGGAGATCATGTAAGTCAAACTCACTCACTATCCAGGTTTTGATTATTCTGCTGCTGCTGTCCCTGTCACAATGTCCCTGGATGATTTGAAACATATCAGTATGTATTTTTTTTTTTCAGGATTGTAGAAGCTCTACTCAAAGCAGACAAGTACATAAGAATACCTGGCAAGGAGGGGTAGGTTGATTTTTTTTCTTTTTGAAATGAAATTTTACAGTTTTAAGTTGTTTGTGCATGTTTGTATGTTTCCAGGGGTTGCAGCCTGTATCGTGTATTATGATTGTGATATCACTCATATTTAAAAATTTTGTAGCATTACTGTTGTTTATGTGTTGACTGAAATTGTCAGCAGTTGCTGAGAACATTACCTGGAGATTTGGGACCTCAGCTTGCTCAGAGTACTCAACTCAGAACCAAGAGGTCCCGGGTTCGAGTCCTGACATGTCATCAATCTTGTGCCCTTGGGAAAAGCACTTTACATGACTTTCCTCACTTAACTCAAGTGAAAATGAGAATTAATTGTCCTGTATTTGTTTCTATTTGTGGGACACAACACCAGCAACAGCTGCCTGTGTCCCACGTGTATTGTATAGTTAAATCAATTAATCAGCTTTCTTGTTTTGTCTATTTTGTACCCTCCCAGTGCTGAAGTGAAGCTGTCGGAGACCCCGGATGACATGCACGCCTACACCCAGCTGACTGACCACATCTTCCAGCAGGTGCTGTACTCGCGGGAGCCTGAGCTGGAGGAGGCTAGGAGTATTCTCAGGGACGTGGAGAGCCGCCGACTGTACCGCTGTGTGGGGCAGACACGGCCGCAACAAGGCTGCCTCATTTCACAGGTTAGCAAGTCTAGGGGATTTTCAGTCCTTCAATACCATTAGGCCATGTAACCTTCAATATTGAAACATGCCTGTTCTTAACTTTTTACCATTACTAAGAAATGAGAAGAAACCAAATTTACTTAATTGTAGGTACTTGATGATGTAGATCTATATATGTAACGTTATCTGTATACCATCCTTTTCATGTGACCAGTACTTAACCCAGCGGGTATGTGTGTACAATAAAGGTCTTCATTCATTCAATAATAACAAATGGTTTATTGGTCAAACATTACCTGTGCAATTGCAGCCTTTTTAGAACTGAATTGATGCAGGGTTTACAGTCACGTAATACACATGATACATGTACTAAATTTGGGTATGTCCAATTTCTTGTGTTGGAAATTGCATTTCAAACTTGTTTCCTAATTTTGGCATAATTGTGATGTGTGTAGGATGAAGCTCCGTCCTGGTCAGAGGAGATAGTGACATCTCTGACAGAGGAGGAGCTGGGAGCCCCTCAGCTCAGTCCTGGGGACATCGCTGTCAGTGTGAGTAGGCAACCCGTTCTCTGCTACATTCTCTCCCTCTGGTCGTGACAGAAGACAGATGCTATGTACAGTTAGTATTTACAGGTTCATCTCTGTAACTGTGATTTGTGCAAGTTCCTGACCTGGGACCATACAATGAGTGTAAAGCTTAAACTTACTGAAGAATGGCTGTCCCGTTTCCTTCCACCCAATCTCACCAGATAGCCGATTCTGGTATCTGAGAGCAGAATGCAGACCATTACAGTGATCTGCCAGGAGGGACACTGCAAGCGAAAGCCGTGTTCAACTTCTTGGTTCTAGAATGGCATTTTATTAGAAATGTGACCTAAGCAGTTCTTACCCATGTGACCAAGAAGGTTTAAATTGTATTTAACCATCTTGATGTGATGTACATTTGTAAGCAGTTCTTGCAATCCCTGAAAGGTAATCAGGTCTATTGGAACCATGACCCCACTTATTGTATTTGATTGCTTGAATATCTGTACAGTGAACCCATTTTGCCCCCCTCCCCCTGCAGGTAGTAGACATGGATTATGGAATGGGTGATAAGAACCCGATTGACCACGTCAGGTTCTACGACAAGAGTAAGATGGACAACGCCTGCAGGGTCAGGAAGGAAGAGGTCAGCAAAACTTTAACTTCAAGTCTTTCTTTAGGGGGGATTCGAGGGACAACTTGTTTATTTATTTATCTTTCGTAATTCCTTATTTTTTTCTCGGTACTTTTATGTTCAAGGTTTTTGTGGCCACTTCTGTACTGCAAGCTTATCATTTCCGTTAACATACACATGAATAATGTAATTTGCAAACTATTTTCAGCACCCGTCAGCACCATCCTGAAAATGTTCTTGGGCGATCAGAATTAGGACTCACCAATGTATTTGTTATTATTTTTCTCCACTACCAGGTCTCCCAGATGCTGCCTGAAACCTTTGCAGAGCAGCATATACGAGTGTACTGCAAGAAGAGAGACCAGCGAAGTATCGATATTGCGGAAAGGTACTTAGTCTAGTACTAAAATGTTACTCTGTTCAATGTTTATTGTGTACAAAGATTTTTCATTGAAACGCCAGCGCTGTAGTCAGCTCATTTTTTTTCCAACAGCCCAGGCTCATGATTGGACCTGGGGGCAGAGTGGTTGCCATATAGGGGGGTCCGGGGACAGATTTTTGTCAATTTTGTCCATCAAGGTTGACAGATTGGTTTAAATTTTCTTTTTCTTTCGGTCACACGTCATAAAGTTCCTGTAATTGATAGAAAAACAGTTGCTGGCAAGAGCCCTGTCTAGCAATAGCTGTAATTGCAAGTGTAGGTGTCTCCCATGTCACAGCTTGAATTGAATGATTGTTGTGTGCTTGTTCTGTTTCTCACAGGTGTTTCATACAGTGGTGTGCTGACAGACAGGACAGACTGAAGAAACCCAAGGTACTGTACATGTATTTATTTTCCTGGTAATAGAATTACAGACTAGTGTTAACACATATTGGCAGTGCTGTTATATTATACTGAAAGACATCACAGCGAAAAATAAAACTTGTACCACAAATAAGCTGCTGCCTGATTATTTTCTGGACAATCATTTTAATATTTCATTATACTTTGCTCCCTGTCACCCTTTCTGATCTATCAAGTTAAATGTCCAGAGTACTAGAAACTTTGAGCTATAATGAACTATCTTTGTTGCCAAATTTTAACATTTACTCTATTTCATTAATGCTGTCAGGTGGAATGTAAGGTAAGGAAACAATAAAACTTTTTTATGTCCTAGAGACTTTTTTTTTACTATTGGTAATGGCTTTGGCCAAAGGGTAGGAACTTTCTTGCTACTTCTTATACATGTACTTGTCCCCTTCATTGTTACAGGGTGGAAAGGCATCAGCACCAGAGCTGACTCCACTGAAGAAGGATGAGAAGGAAGACGAGGCCGGCACCTCGCGATTGGTCCAGCCTCCGGGACAACACGACTCCGTCAGGAGCAGACTGTCACTGTAGTCTGGTGTCAGACCGCATATTGGCTGAATGTACTGCACCTGCGCAAAACCCAGAGATTTCTTATGGTTGTTGTTAGATCTTTCGTTAACATTGAATCTTTTCTGTTTCAATTTCTTTTCCGACTCAACTTTTGAGAACTGTATTCAACCATACATGTAAAGCTCTGATGAAGTATTTTATGCGTTTCACCCAGGCACAGTACATTAGATGCTGTGTTAGACATTAATGGTGCCAAAGCTTGCTTTCAAAGCTTTGCTATTACATGTACTTATCAGCATGGACAGTTGAGGATTGCTGAAACGTTAACAAGGCAAAAAAAGCCGCTTGTTACATGCACATGTATTTTGGCTGATCGTAAGTTTTGACCATATGCAAGATTTATGTTACAATTCTTCCCTTTTATGTTTGACGATTTGAGTTATGTGGGTGGCATACACTATGTCGTGGTACTACCATGCAATGAAATTGTATGAACTTTGAATTAAATACACTATCATTTGATTTTCAAACCTGCTTGATTAGCTAGGTCCTAAATGTGCAAAACTACGTAATACTAATGCTGAAGCAACAAAGGATGTTGCACTGTGCTGATATTTATGGATATGTACTAGTATTAAAATGCCAAAATAGTTTCCAGATTTTACAATTGTTAGAGTATTAAAGAGCACTTATTGTGTTCAATGAAGCTAAGAAGACAATTTTATAACCCAGCTGAATACTGTAGTTTCTACATGTACTGAAGCCATCACATGTCTCCAATGAAATCCTTCTCAATGATTCAGAAAATAAACACACAGAAGCATATCTGATTTTATATCAATTCATTTTATTGTTGATGATCATCTAGCTTCATTCCTGTCTTCACACTTGCATTGTGATCTTCCATTAAAATCACTCCTTTTCTGCAACTTGTCCAGAACGTTTTCTTGAGTGTGACTCTCCTGAAAAGAGTAACAAGAAAAATTAACAATGCCAGATACACCAGTTTTGTCTACATTTTGCTGTATCAGAATACAACAGTTGACACCCCTCCCACTGACTTGTAGGTAAGCACACAACATTGCATTGACTATTCATGGTAAATGTCCTGTGTGCTCAGTGTGACCAATCAGTCATGTTTTATCAGACTGGGGCGGTAAGGACCTCATCATTGCAAACAGGACAGTTTAAACATTGGTTTACTGCATTCAAGTCATGTTTCGGACCAAATATGGTATCATGGCCTTAACATAAGGCCATGTTGATTTGATTATATGGATGACATCCTCTGGGGACCCCAAAAACTGATGCGCGCGTGCGAATAAAAAAAAAGTTTTGCAAAAAAAAAAGTTGTCTTCATTATGAAATCTACGTGGTCATGAAGGTTGAACAAATGACACAGTATGGTATGGCGAATAATCTATACTCCAAATCCATTTCTTCACATTTTCGTCTTTTTCATTTAATTTTGGCATTCTACGACAATGTTATCATTTTCAAATATTTTTTTTGTATCTTACGGTATATATTTGCTCATTTTGCAACTGTTGATTGTATTTTTTTTTTTGGAAACGGCCGAAAATTCATGCGCGTGCGGATGTCATCCATATAATCAAATCAACATGGCCTAATATACTTACATTATGCAGTAGCAATGGAGCTGGACTCTGAGACACCACCTGGAAAAGTCCAGAAGAACAGTCAACAAAATAGGAACACAATTTTTGACAAAAAAAAACTTTAAAATTCATTCATTCCACTCAGATGACAGTCGTGAGAACAATGTTTCTTCACTGTTCCTTTGGAACTCGAAGCGAGCTGGGTTATGAGTTACATCATCGTGGAAAACTGAAAAATTCTGGGTTTGAAATACTTTCTTTCCTCAGGTTGCCCAATAGGCAGCAACAGGGAGGCAAGTCAAAAGCTAGGTTACCCATCAATATTCAGGTTGCCTATAGCACCGGTTCCCTATTTTAGACAACAGGCCACCCGATATGGTATCACTCACATATGCTGGCTGTGGCGGGACACAGTTTATTTCAGAGGCTGTAGTGTAACTTTTGCGTCAGGCAAATTGGCATCTCCAGTAAGTGTCACTGGGGGTGAGAGTTGGGTACTTCGAACCCTGAAACTTTCTGAAAATACAACACTTACCATTGGAGTATGTCGATTGTTGGGCTTCATCACTGGGATCACTCCGTCAAGTATCAAGCCTGTAAATTGAAAAATAAGATTAATAATTTTCTCACTGAATAAATTCTCAAAGACCTTCATCAGAGGTTTAACTTCCACTCAGAAGACAGTCGTGAGAGAACAAGTTTTCTTCACCGTTCGTGTTGAACTCTAAGCGAGCTGGGGTTATGTGTGGCATCATTGTGGAGACTATATTTACGACATTAAGGCAGCAGGGTACAGGTTTAAAAAAAATACTGTGTTCTGAAAACTTAACAACACTCACCAGTTCACTGAAGGTTGGTCTTCTGTATAGTTGGTTCTCCATTGTGTTGCAAGTCTGCATGTAAAAAAAAAAATGAAATTCAATTAATTTTCATTCACAGGATGATAAGAACAATTCTAAGATCCTTTGACTTCCACTCAGAAGACAGTCGTGAGAGAACAAGTTTTCTTCACCGTTCTTGTTGAACTCTAAGCGAGCTGGGGTTATGTGTGGCATCATTGTGGAAGTACACAAACAATTCTACACAAACAATTCAAACAACGGAAAAAAAATGCTGTGTTTCCAGTTTCCCGACCAACCCTAACAAAAACTTGTGACACATAAAATGTGAGAAGAATGAAAAGAACCACCTACCACCACAACTGTCCACACACACACAACGCCCGATCTGCCTCCTCCCCTGGAGTAAGAAAGAAAACACAGGTCTAAACATGTGCTTAGTTTTGGTATTGTAAGGGTCAGCATAAAGACACCAGATGAGCTCAGAGATGAGATAAGTTGTAATCAGAGAATGTCATACGAACGAGACTATATATCCTCATCATAGCTCAAACTTGGCAAGAATAGCACCACATTCTCTTTCAACAAATTTGCTCAGTGAATAAACTAATTTCAGTTACTGTAAAGGGCTCGTAATACTGGGTGCATGTGCACCTTAAAGCTGCTGCACCCAAAATTGGAGCTGTTATTCTGATGCTAGAAACATTCCATCATTTGCTCTTGCTCCCAACTTTGAACATACACAGTACTGAACAAAGAAGCAACTTACCAAGATCATTCTGGTGGGTCCACACATCATGGGTCACTAAGGTAGGGGCAAGATTGAATAATGAGAAAATGCCTTACAGTCTTGCATTTGAATTTGGAATATTTCACTTGGCTGAGCTCAGAAATTAAAACATAGCAATTTATCAATCATGGACAATCATCACGTTTTGTCATCATCGCTCAAGCCACTAACTCAAACTGCGCAACAAGAGTAATACTAGTAATTGTACCAAGGCCACACCGATAAAGTGTGTCGCCTAAACTGTAGAATACAGAAAACTATGGGACCTACCATGTGTGCCTTACTTACCAGTAGTTCGTGTTGTGATTTTTTTCTTGAGGTGCAGAGTTAGTCGTCTGCATGCTGTCTGAAGCTGGCATTCCCTGCACAGACCTGGTCAAGGTAGAAAAACAAAAGCATTAACACATTCAAGTGTTTGCCAACATTGGAATGCATCTTTACTGTAGTATACTAGTAGTATACTATTTTAAGCAGTGTACCTCAGACAGTATGTGTCAGCAAAGAAATTCTGACATATGCTTGTCAATGGGAATTCATCATAGGCAACAGTTGTATTTGTATATCACATGTATCCAGCCAACAGTTTTACACTACTGAAATACTTTTTTCGAACCCTGAAGTTGTTGTAAGTGAAACCTACACAAGTACCAACCTTATGAAAATTTCTGCACAGGGAGTTTTACCGCAACAGCATGGACTGAATGGCCCTCGTCTGTGTGATTATGAAAATATGATACGTTGAATAAAATTTATATTCTTGCTCATACCTTCCAACAGATTACATTTCATTCTACAATACAGAAAGTTGACATTTCTCTTGGATCAGCTTCGCCTTTTGTCTGTCACTGATAAGTCAGTACAGGTCTGTGTGTTGTCATCAGTTCCAAGAGTCAGGAGAACATACAGAAATGCACATCTGTACTTTTCTCTTGTGATTCATGCATAGTTACACTTACAGACACTTATTTCATTCTCAACTTGTTGCCCAACTTGTTTCTTTAATTTGTTTCACTTACTATCATTACCAGAATTGATCTTTTGCCTACAAATTTCTATATGCTTGCCTCTAGGAAAAGAACATGCGGTTTTGAATCTTTGAAAGACCTAAAGGTTCAAAGTAGATAAACTTGTGTGGTCCAACTGACCTGCTCAAATCAGTCACGTTGCACTTTGGGGTCCCATCTCTACATACCACGTGGGTAGAGTAGCGCAGCGCAGTTTGTGAAGTATTCCCTGTAACAGTCATGAAAAAAACATATAGCTTTACCTGCACAAATGTTTGCTACATAATAAGGGTTGAGTGTCTGTCACAAATAAAAAAAGGACGCCTTTTCTTCGGAGGAAAATAAGATGTGGGGGGGGGGGTGACTACAACGTTTGGCGCTTTTTCAACATTATTTTATGTAAAATTGGTTGAAAGTACATCATCGAAAAATGCACAAACCAGTTTATACAGATCTGTAAGAAATTATAGAGGCTTGCTGGGCCGAAGTTGATCCAGAAATATGGTTAAAACTTGAAAGGATAAGTTTGCCCAAGCATGGTCGACTTATAGGCCATGTGGCTTCGCGAAACTTTTGGGCTATCTGCAAGAAAAAAAGGAGATTACCTGAAAATTACCCCGTCAGCGTTCACAATATACATTCTAGTTGGTGATTTCTTCATCCTAGGTGGGATACAAGTCGGCTGGAGACAGGATGGCAGTGGATTTACGCGACATCTTTGCAGGAACGGAGGTGTCGGTGTCTTCTCCAAACTTGGTCCTCCAGCAAAGTGCATGACGGGCTGTGAGTGGTCACCTTTGACCCTGATGTACGGGATGTACCATTGTTGTACCCAAACTGGGGGTGACCGAGTTGCAAACCACATTTTACTTACACATGTACTTCTTTATAGTTATACCAAGGAGGTTATGTCAGGACATAAAGAAAGGCCTGGTGAAATGATACAAATGTAACGTTAATAATTTTTTCAGCAAAAAAATTGAAATTTTTATGTAGAAAAAATATTCATGTGGTTGCACTTTTCAACATGTCTGTGCTATTACCTCATTTATGACAGGAGGTGCACTGAATTTGTGGTGGCACTACGAGAATGTATAAATAAACTTGGCCGACAGCTGTGTTTCTAGCTTTTTAACACTCTTCTAAGGCAATATTTTGGCACCTCCACTTCCTGAATGGCTCTTATTTGCAATGTTTATTCAGCTTACTTTGTAATGGAATGACCAAAAATTTGCTTTTTGTGTCATCCTTAATTTACATAATATATACTTACTTTCATATGTTTAGGACAACTCTTTCTCGGCTTTGTTTAGTAGCTAAGCAATTAAACCCTTGGTAGGACCAGCATTTGAAGTTTGCAACTGCAGTTGGTAACTACCATACGGTATTTAGTATAAATGTATGCATTTCCCTGAGTCACCTTAAAAAACAAGAAAAAACACCCAGAAAAAAAACACAAACAAGTCCAATTTCTGACACAGCACATGTGCATCTTATTCATCTTCACAGACATGTCATAATAATAAACTGAATACAAGTGTCTGATAGTGCAGTACACAATATCTCACTGTACAATTATCATATACCCATATATGTCGATGATCCCTATACAGACTGTACAAAGATATGTATATCCAAAATACAAGTATATGTGATGCAAACACACAACAATGCAAGCATGTGTGGTGCTATTATGTACAAATGCAGCAATACTCGTGGAAATGCAGTGAAAAATTTACAGGTTCTGTCTTAACACTAACAAATGCTATGGCACAAACATTGCTCGAGTCATTTACGTGGTTGCCAGTAATACAAACACAGCAAGGTCATAGTACCACCCATACAGCTGCCAATACATCGGATTCCATACAGTTGCTGTACCTAAAATTCCAGTTATAACTGTACCAACACATTGTCACAAGATAGTCTGTGTCAAAAAAATTATTGAAACAGAAAAGACTCTTTTTGTTGCTTTTCTTTCCGTAGATACAGACTGAAGAAGTCTTAGTTTCATGGACTAATGTTAGAAACAGGTGTGTTTTTTCAGGTTCGAGACAAAATGTGAAGCAACTTATTGTGGTTTGGTGCATCTTAACTATTCTAAAACCTCAACAGAGGGCCACTGGAATTGTGCTCTGTTTGAAAGCTCGTTTAAAAAATTATATCAACAAACTTACGTTACTATTTCATAAGATGATTGTGAAACTGAAGCATTTCAATGCATTTTTCTGGAAATTAAAACGATGAATTATAAGGAAAGTTATGTTGTTATAATGTGTTATAATATACAGTATCGTCTTGAAACAGCGAAGCACATTGTAAGCTGAGACATATGTTGATACCTCTTTGACTATGTACTACATTTTGACAAAAATTTCTGCAAAATTACACTGGCAGTTCTATCCTCTTCCTTACACACCCGTATTTTACACCACAGGCACGAGAATTCATGTACAACAGCACTGTTCTTCACAACGAACCCTGTACAACCACTACAAATTGCACACGTCAAGTTACAACTTCACAACACTCAACACTGGCAACAGTTTGGCAAGTTTAATCTGACGTCCCTCGAACCTAGAATACCTTACTGCGAAGCAAGGGGGCTGTTTCCCCCGTTTCGAGCTCTAAATGCGTGCTTGTTTTTGTTTACTTTGAGGTAGACACGTACATCAGTGACATTACCCTTATTATCATTAAAACTGCATGTCAAGTTAAAATGAAAATAAAATTTAGATACTTCCAAACATGAAACTTTAACAAATGAATACCTAACTCCCTAAGTAACCGAGGTAGTCAAAGGCATTCATTGCAGTACTGTGTTTTAAGTAAAAGGATGTCTACGTTAAGTTTTGATGTCTTTCAGAAATATACTGGCTTCATATTAATATCAACAGATTTATAGGTCCAAAATTTTTCATCTCTGTATGTAAAGACAGGTTTAAAGATCTTCCAACTTCAAGGATACAGTTTCTATTACTTTCGTTACTACTTGATAAAGCTTTTTTTTCTATTCCTTACACAACATAGCTGGCAGTCAATTAGCAATCAAACCAACCAACAACAAAAAAATTGACTCTAAAAGTACAATGTATCTAACACTTTGTTTTGATGCCATCCCTGATTTTTCTTATAAACTTTCTTAGAATGGTCCTGCTGTTAATAAAAACATTTACAACATATATCTGACTTATGTATATTCAGTTTGATATAGGGCATTTCACACTGTATCTATACACTATCTTACATCACCTTATATATAGAGTCTGCGACAGCTGTGCAACCATAGTGAGACCGTTGTGCAACCATTGTGAGACCGTTGTGCAACCACTGAGTAACCCAAAATTTGACAGATCGCTCAATGAATTTCATACCTGAACAACAGTTTTTGTCACATTTTGTGTTTTTTGTTGTCCTAAGCATTGTGCGGTGTAATAATTCTTACATTCCAATTATGGGTCACAGAAATCCAATTTCAGTCCCTCAACGATCGCTCGGTGAAACAGGGGCCTTACCAGATGGCAAACTAACAAACTGGTTTACATCGCTATCAAGGTGAATGCTACACGACCATATCTATGCAGCGCAGACCACTGGGGAACACAGGTTATTTACATGACATGTACATCACTTCAGCACAGCTGCATCTTTCTTTGTGACTGTACATGTAACTAGATCACTACACTTACAGTAGTGAGGACGTTGGCACAGGTAAAAGTCTTCACTCCACATCCTAATATCTACATCGATTCGTGGAGAAAGACAATCTACTAAATGTTCTTAATGAAGACCAGTGTGTAGTATATACCTGTACATAAGTTCGTAACTACCGTATTTGGTATCACCATCAATGATGTGGTGGTTTACGTACTATTAACCAAATCGTTTTCTAGACAAAACTGTCTGGTACTGGGTATACATATGGCTGTCAAGGATGGAGGTAATATTCAGTTTTATATTGTATATTGCCAATTTTACATCTCCTACAACTCGACTCATTAACAATAGTTGTTTTGATATGTGTAAAGTACTGGAAGGGCTGTGATTAAAGTGCAGTTTATGCAACTCAGAGCTACAAAGTACATGACGCATCTGAATGGCTAAAAAGAGTCTTCCTTTTCATCATTATGATACAATTTGGGTCATTTCGCAACTGGACAGAATAAAGCTTTTCTGATGTGAAATTTGTGAATGAGACTATTTCCCCCTAACACGAAAAGTGGATTTGAATTTTATGCAACTGTCAGTTTTTTATGCAAACAAATTTAACTGTCTGCTTTATTCCCTAGACACATAGGATAGGACTGGACTACGGCTCTTGCTGTACAAAGTCTATTGTGATCATTATCTTTCTTTTTACAGTCTTTTAGCTTCGTTATGCTACATTATCCATTTACAAACACTTATTACATACAGTATTGGTGTACACCACAGTACCCTTATTGGCACTGGTGTCATGTTGATGAAGTCTTTTATGCCAATCTTTGAAGTTATAGCAAAGTTAATTCAATTTTCCTGTTATATAGAGTTATACCATCTTGAGCAATCGCGACTTGGATAAAAAGTATTCAGTGGCGCAGACTACAATTATGTACGACAAGCTTTATGATACAATCATAACAGTAGGGAACTATGACCAGTTTATAGCCACATCCTTGTGTTTAAACGAACGAAATTGTCAAACTAAACGGCAACAGCTGCTGTGAAGATGGCTGGCCTTGGGGTCGTTTCTCACCATCACCGCCCGGTCCAGCTTGCCCCGCGATATTGCTCGTTTCATGGCCGTCGTGCGCACAGAGTTCAACACGCCCGGCCGAGCGGCGGTCAGGACCACGCTGCGGTTCATCTTCGCATTGATCTCGTTCTCCGTCAGTACCATGTCCGACGTGTCCACGATGTTGGCGAAGTTGTTCTGCGTGTCTAAAACGTCCGGCTTGGACCACTGCACCTTTTGGCTGTCCACACTCTGGGTGTCCGACTCGCTGGGAGTGTGGTTACTCGGGTCTATGGCGTACTTACTATTGGATGAACTGTGGCTACTTATGCTAAGGTTACTGTTTTTCAGGCTGTCCCGTAGCTCGTTACTGTTCTTTCTGTGCTGGCTCTTGCTGCTGGCAATGCTAATGTTACTGGAACGGAGATTGTTGGCATTGTTGAGACCTGTACTGTTACAGTTGGGGTCCGTACCCCCACCGTTGGACGAACCATAGTTCTGGTTGTTCCACCCGTTACTACTGGTGCCGTTGGCGCCATGGAAACCCTCACCGTTGTTGTTCCGGCTGGGACCGGTACCGCCACTCCCGCCACCTCCCCCGCGAGGATCATCATCACTGTCTCTTCGCCGCCAATGTTGCGACAGACTGCCTCCGCTGTCCCGTCTTAGGCGTGAGTCTGTGTCATCATCGCTCGTGTCCGTGCTGCTGCAGTTCGAAGCCTTGTTCCGCAGGGCCTTACGATGCTGTAAGGACGAGAACTTTTTTCTCAGGGACTCTGGCGTCGCTATGGACATGCGGTTACGCAGGATCCGCGGAGATGTCCGGTGAACAGAATCATCATCCGACTCAATCTCCTCTCCCTCCTCGTGTATCTCGTTCAGAGTCAAGGGCGTGCTGCGTCTGTTCTGAATACGTCGGTTCAACGGAACCTTTCTCATCCTCACGCCCGTAGACAGCGTGCCACCTCCCGACATCTTCTCAAGGTGCCTTCGGAAGTCCTCCTCGGAATCGTTACTGCCGCTGTGCTTGCTGCTTTCGTCGTCATCATCGTAATCGTCGTCGTCGCTGTTCACGTCGGAGAAGCGGAGGTTGTGCTCCTCCTCCTCCTCCTGCAGGACCTCCACCCCCTCCAGCACCACGCTGCGGCCCCGGCGCGGGGAGATGGTCAGGTGGTCCCGGCCCTGCAGCGGCGGCTTGTGCCGGCTGGGGATGTTGATGGCCTCGCTGGCTATTCTGGTGGCGCTGCTGGAGGGGGACGGAGACCGGCTGCGGCTCGGGGACTGGCGCCCGGGAACCATGGCCGACTTGGCCACGTGATCACTGTCCTCGGGATCAGCATGCATTGGTCTGGAGGGAAGGAAAGATATGGTCAAGATTACATGTGTCAGAGATTGTGTTAAGATGATCACTTTTCAAGGATTCTCAGTGACTTAACACCTGTGTGATATTGTATATCAATATACCAACTAACAGACTTCTTTTGTTTTGGGACTAAAATCAGAAACATTTTTCCTAATTCATAGCAAACAGGGTAACATACTCCAGAAGGATTCTCACATATTATCGATGACAAGAAGCCATAAGAAATTATTATTCCACGATGGTGTCATTTCCACAACTGACAAATAACTGACAGGTAAGTGGCAGTACCTTTTGGCCACGATGAAAGGTTTTCTGGGGTTGTCGCTGGGGGCTGAGTTCTGCCGCACCAGGCTGACCCGGGGGTTGTCTGGCACCAGGTTTCTCCGCAGCTTCCGCTCCGCCAGCAGGTAGTACGTGGCCGTGATGTGGTCGTATTTATCATGATCCACAGACCTGGGGGCAAAACAGGCAATTTTGAGTGATGGAAGAAAAGGGATGACAACTACGCAATATACCAGCAGGCTAGGATCAATGCAGAATTATAGGATTGACATATGCTCAGGGCTTGAAATTGTTTTTTCTGTACTCAGGTACAGGTACATGTAACATGATGATGTTGTAGTAATGTTACCTGCACTGGGCAATTCATACATTGTACACTACCTGCAGTCAGATCTTTTGAGAGTCTCTCAGAAAGTCAAACTATTGCATGTTTAGACTGTTTAGAAACCTCTTCAATTCTGTATTATATTTTAATAATTCATGGTCATGGTAATAACCTGAGCATAGAAAACATATATTGAATCAGATTTCATATACCAGTACTGGTGCAGGTTATGGATATACACAACTCCAATTTTTCACCTGCACTAGCCTGTATTCTAGAGGCATTTCAAGTCCTGCCATACAATTACAATACCTGTAAAGCTCACACTAAAGGGCATACAGGGACTAGCCTGGAGGAAATCCTACTCGTCAATATCCCATCACTATAGCAGTGCGCTGTGAAATTCTATCTTCTTCCTCCAGCAAAAGTTCCTTCCATCCCTTTAAGTTAGGAGCTTTTTATCCGACTTCCATTGACTTTCAAGTTGTTATCCCTGGTCCCAGGGTATCAAAGGCATTTTTGACAGCGTAGTGCACTGACGTCAAAGGCTCTCCCAGCGGATTGACCGTCAACCCCCTCTATGGGGAGAAAATTGAACACTGCCGTCACCAGAGCCGCTTTATGATACGGTAGATATATTTAGCCCGTCACTAATTGCTTTTGAGGCACTGAGTGGGGCTGGTGCAGGTATCTGATGCAAGCTAAATTTTCCAATCATTGCGTAAAGGCTGTTGCACCGTACGTCTAAGAACAACACTTAAGATACAAGAAAAAAAACTGTCAGTAACTGACTTACTGAATAGAATGCATGTTTAGCCTACCAATAGCTCTGAAAACATGAACTGCAATGCCCCCTAGTACAAAAATGTATTACTGCAGCAGAAGGGAGTGTAAGATCAGAAGGCAATGACATCATAATAATAATATCTGACGTCAGTTCTTAATGTTCCAGTAGTAGATGGAAAGAAAATCTGAGCCAACACCCAAACCCCCAATACCATCCACTCACCACTGGCTATGGGCTGCATGATTCAAGGTTGTTCCTTACTTGCACCAGCTGGCCTTTGAATACAGTATGTTTCTTTTTGTCTGTGTGTGTGTGGAGAAAGCTGATCCAATTAAGCAGCTCAGGTTTGCTCAGTAGTAGAAACTTTCTTTGTCCTGCTATTGATCGTGACTTGCGTAAGACACTTGACCCAACCACTGTTGCAAAACCAGTGTGTAATTATGCCGAATGCCGATTATACCAGCTGACCAACTCGGCTTCAGAAGCCTGTTGGCTGAACACATGGCAGAAAACGTGAGGGCCTTTCATCATTCAAATTGTTTCAAGTCCTTAAAAATGGGGCACTTCAGGCAAAGCACCAACCTGTCCTGTATTGTTCAAGCAGTGTAGCTGCCATTTTGTGTAACTAACATACCAGTATGCTACATTGTACATTTCCATCACGTTGGGTGACTAGGACTGCTGTTTTCACAATCAAAAAGGTGGCAAGGTGGGCTTTAGGTGGCCAACATTAGGGTTGTTGACTTCGAATTCCTGGCTACTTTTACACACTGTTGAAGAAAATGGAGGCAGCAAGCAGCCACGTTGTAAAAAACGTGACTCTCTTCAGACCACTTCATTTGCCCTCGAACCCCCTCCAACAAAAATCATTCCGCAAGAATACTTGAAATCCACTTCTCACAAACAAGCCCCAAACCACAAATTGGCCCCTTGGCATTTCTGAACTGCTTCCAAACAGGTGAAAGCAGACACAGTTCAGCTGTGAATAATTTCATCGGGTTGGAAAGAGACTGTATGAGAAGGTTCTTTTTTTTATATAATTTAACAACCAGTGTATCTTTTAAGGCATCCAATGCAATTTTGGGGTCATTTTTCTTGTCATTCTTTCAAATTTAAACATACTAAGTTAAACGAATCCTATCCCATAGCATACTGATATCTGTGGGGCAAAAATTATATATATATATGTGATTGTTATGGATGTTACATCTGGCAGTTTTCAACATCCATTTGCTTGAGAAACTGTTGTCTTGAGTATTGAGATGGCAAGGTTATAGCCAGCATCCATCAGTTGACAGAATTTTGATGCTCAGCAATAGGTAAAATAATTTTCGATCCATCATCTTTGACAGGCAAAAACTGGCGTGTAAAGATATGGAAAGAGATAGCATTCAACTAACTAAAGTAAATGTAGGAAATAGCATTTCAGAGGGTAGGGTCAAGATTTCAAAATTTCCCGGAGGGTGGGTAGTTCCCCCTGGACCCCCAAGGATTGTGGCAATCAATACGATTTGACATAACGTCAAACATTTAGTCTGAGATGATGGAAAAAAAAGGTCAGGCTGCATGGCTAGAACATTTTTCCATTTCTTCACCAATCCCAAGACTGTGGATGGCAAGACTAAATTGTGCAGAATTATTCCCAAGACAAAAGCACCCAGCAAAAGGACAGCAGGGTAAGACAGCCCGGGGGATGATTGATGGTCCTTATCTACACAGCAACAGGAGCAATCAATACACCAGGCCCCTCACTCTGTCAGAGTCTTATAACGACTGTCATTTCAGTTTCACTCCAAAACTAGTTACCTAACATCAGTCTGGATGGGTGGATGCCATCCCATCCATCTAAGTTTATACCAGGGCTCCCCTAATAGTCCTGTACCCAAGAAGTTCCACTAACATGGTACTTTTTGATGGCTTGATGGCAGGGGAGGGGCTTGGCATAGGAACCCTGCATAAACAGGGCTCAAAATACTTTTTTTTTCTGTATATCTACGCTAAGGTAAACACCAGAAATACCTGGTGCACAGCTCCAAGTTTACCTGCACTAAAATGTATAATATTATGTACCCATTATTTTGAGCCCTGAATTGTCAGAAATGATAGTAAACCTGATAAGCAGAAAGACATTTAATGGCAGCTTGATGATCATCGACATGAATGCTCCTCTCTACATCTCTGTTTCCATTGGAATTTTACAGTAACCATTTCTTCAAGCTTTTCAGTTTAATGCTGCAGCACATCTTTTTTCTTCCAAAATGTATTTCAAAATATACTTAATGGAAACTTAGCATTATGGAATGCATCATAGAGCTCTGAACAGACAATCTTCTAGAAGAATTCACAGACGTGGCTTTCGAGGAATGTACAAAATGTACGTCGGCTTCAAAGGTGCGGAAGTCAGTCACCTACATCTGAGGAACATGCCATAATGCGGACGGACGGCTTTGATTCGTGCCGCCCTCCCCTAACCTATCATACTACATGTGACAGTCCCGTCAATCAGACATAAATATAGCGGCAGAGGTCAGTCCCTGATGTATCGGAGATGTCATTGTCAAACATTAGTGGGACGCAGGGGGCAGTTAGTTACCAGGGACGAGGTCTAATGTTGCTCCTATCCTGCCGTATGTGCGATAATGATACCACGCACTGTGCTTCGATCGCCCGTAAGATATGTGTGTCAGTGTGGGGGAAGATAGGGCCTGAATACAGACTGTGTCCTTGTGGCATGGAAATTTTCTTTGGTAACTCATTTGTAAGCTTTCTGATATTCGTTTTTCAGCCAATTTTGCATGGATCTGACTTTGTACCAGCACAGTACGATGCTAGATCCCAATACTAATCTCATTTTGATTCCACTTAAGTGGACGAAGATGCATCAGACATCAACTTTGTTACCAAGACACTTCTAATGCTAATAATATTTCTTATGCATGCACAAAGTGTTTGACGAATGATTCCGCTTGTGGTATACAGTACCCAAAGCACATGCGCTAAATAAAGTACAGTTCAAACTTGAGCTGAAAATTGAAGCACCATAAAGATTATCCATTCATATAATTAGCAATTTTATGTGTATACCGTATGCTTAACAACTTCATGTTTATGGGGCCATTAAACAACTTTCCTTGTTATATGACTAAAACTGCTAAGTATTCCAATAAAACTGAACTGTATTCTAAATTTCAAATATAGAAAAGTATAAAACTGCATAAATTTGACACCCTTGATAAGATCCACATCAGTTTTTGTCCAGCCAGCATCCATCTTTCTGCCATTTGACAGAATTTAATGACAAAATCTAGGTTGGCTAAAACACTGGTATGGCCTAGGCTAATGGCAAAAGAAAGTATCAACAGTTACTCACTCTTTGATGGTGTCCAGTTCTGCTATCTTGCCGTTGTATGGCCCAGCATTATTCTAGCCTGTGTCCGTCTTTCTGTCATTTGACAAAATCTAGACTGGCTAAAACATGTCTTGTATGGCCTAATGGCATTGAAAGAAAAGTGTGGACTCACTCTTTGATGGCATCCAGTTCTGCGATCTTGCCGCTGGCCATACTCAGTATGACCCAGCATTATTCTAGCCTGTGTCGGTTTTTCTGTCATTTGACAAAATCTAGGCTGGCTACAACACTGGTATGGCCTAGCCTAATGGCAAAAGAAAAGCGTGAACTCACTCTTTGATGGCGTCGAGCTCTGCAATCTTGCCGCTGGCCATACTCAGTATGGGCCAGCAGCCAGTGTCCCTCTTTCCGTCACTTGCCAGAACTTAATGACAAAATCTAGGCTAGCTAAAACACTGGTATGGTCAAGTCTAAATGGCAAACAAAAAGTGTGGACTCACTCTTTAATGGCGTCCAGTTCCGCGATCTTGCCGCTGGCCATACTCTGCATGATCTGTCTGCTGTCCTCCTCGGGGATGTCCCTGCGGTGGATCATGGGAGGGACCATGAAGGGGGGCAGGTTTCCGTTCTGCAGCCACGGGTGGTTCTCGATCTGCTCCAGCGTGGCGCGCCGCGCAGGGTCACGGATCAGCATCCGGGCGATCAGGCTGGACAGGGAAACAAAAAAGATATAGCAGGTGACTTCAGGCTGAGGACAAACAAGACTTTTTTTGTTAGCTGCACTAAGGTGTAGCCTGTGTTACATAAGCTCTCTCGGGTTGAGGGTAATGACCCCCACCTTCGGGACCAGCGGCCACCAGGAACGCGGTTTAGCCAGGCTGTTGAAATTCTGGTTTCCCAACCGACCCTAGCAAAACCCCGCTGACGCAAGCCTTGTTTTAATCAATTCCTGGTAAGGCTATATAGTATATAAAAATGCAAAAATTTTCAATTTGAATTTACCCTCTCAAGTCTGAGACGTCACTTCACACATTTTTATGAGCAAATTTTCTTCAGTAATTCGGGTGAAATATAGCATTAATGAAATTTGATATAGAATGTCCTTGTCTTGTGGTATTCCTATAGATAAGAAGTGATCACAAAAATTCAGATTTATGCCAACATCTGGAATTGAAATTCACAAACCACGTTCATTGCTATCACTTACTGTCATACCCTTTCAGAAAGTGCAAGAGCGTAAAAAAAGTGAATACCCTTAAGCTTGATGCGAAAGCCTGGCTTCAGTGTCAATATCCTTTCTCTGAGAGTTGGAGGTCATTGACGTTTTCAGTTACACAATGCACAATTGGTGTGGAAGTTATTCTAAATCATTCCGCTCCAGTGCCAGGAGTGCCCCAGGGAAGAAGTCCTTTCATCACTCTTCCAACTCAAAGTCACATCACCATGCATATCTACATGCAACCCTTGAACAAGACTGAGCCCTTAAGTTCACCCACTAATGCTCTTCTGTATATGGCCTCGAGGCCTTGGAAAAAATGTTGTGTTGTCCTGAAAAGATGGGTACTACTACTACTAGGGATTCTCTAGAGCTCTACTTTCTCTGTTTTAAATTACTTACTTATTTTCTTTTTTTCTAGATTTTGGCTAAAACGATATAACTAAATACATTTGAAAGCAAACTGAATGTACAACTGAATTGCGTCAGGACCAGGGCTGTCTCCAGGACCCGTCCCTCCATTTGCTTGTTGGGAATGGACAAATATTTCACCCGATTCACTCAATAAAATTTTGCTTCTAAAAACGCTTGTTGACATTTTAGAGGGTTTGGAACGGCATCAGATAAAAAATTTTAGTGACTTGCCTGCAGTCAACTCCCACATACAACAAAGGCTACTAGTACAGTCGGGAGGTTTTTTCCTAGGATCAGTCGGGAAATGAGAAACACAACATTTTTTTTCTAGGCCCTAACACCTCCTGAGTATTATACATGGAGTTAGACGCAAAGACGTGATTCCTAGAAAATAATTGAGGGCAATTTCCTGACGCTTATTGAATAGAGCTGTGTCCTAATTTCAGAGTTGATTTCCCCGTGTATCTATTCAGGGCAATCTCCTGCCTTGTTTTTCACAACGTGACCACTAATATCAATTCTTGAGACTACGGAAGAGCCTCAATCAGGTTCTGAATAACTGCTACGGGGTAAAAGCTTGAAATGTCACTTCAAAGAGAGGGATAATAGGTCGTTCCATATATATTGAACAAGACCAGTGGAAGATTTATATACAGAGCTCGAAATCCTTTTTTCTGCATACCTGCACTGTTGCAGGTAATATTGAAAATTACCTGTGCCAGACAAATTTTACCTGCACCACTCCGAAGAAAAATGGATCATACTAAAAACTGTTCAGAAACCATTGCCATTGCCATTGCCAATGCTAATGCAATGTAGCTAGTTGAATCAACCCTATTCCGTACAAGATGTAGCATACTGATATCTGTGAGGCAAAAATGTGATGTCCCTGACAGCAAACGGTTCCTTGTTTTGTATTATAGACTGGTTTTAGCTGTGTACAGGTGGTACCCAGAAAATAGAGAGACACCTCATGTAGCGTGTTTGGTCCAGGCTATTTCAAACGCTTTACTCTGATATAAAATGGTGACGAAACTGTGCTAGGATATGGCATGCCATTTTCTAGCACAGTTCAGACAGCTTTTCCTTATCAAGAATATTTTGTTTTGCAGTCCTGACATTGCATTGGATGCCTTTGAGTACAACAACGGGGAAAGTATATCTACGTTGATGTTTATCCAAATGACTTGTTTCTTAAAACTTTTCCCCGTTGTGTGTTGATACTACTCCAATGGTGAGTTTTGGGCACTACCAAAGATGTAACAAACACACTGTAGAAATCTTACTAGTGCTTACTTTTTGCACTCCTCGGAGACATGAGCGCGCACAGTGTACTTGCAGTCCATGATCATGGTGAGAGTCTCGCTGTCGTTGGCTTCGTTAAACGGCGCCTCCCCGCAAACCAGCATGTACAGGATCACGCCCAGGCTCCAAACATCTGCAGGGAAGAACAGCCAATACATCATGAACAAACCGGCGGGCAAACCATTAACATTAACTTATAATATTGTACGCTGAGATTGTGGAATGACAACTCTCTGAGACACTGCTGTAATTCACTTTATGTTTGCGGTACCAAAACAAAAGTCTAAGAAAACTAAGAAAAATGGGACATGTTCACAGAACTATATGTTCACGGTGGCAGCAGGTGCAGCAAAAAGAAAGTTGGCCAATTAATTATATTATTTGTTTGTGGTAATGATAAATTCGCAGTACAGAAGTCCACAAAAACTGCAAACATAAAAATACAGTGAGTAAATGAGTAACAATTCCTTGTGTATCTCATTACCTGCATGTCTAGTAACCTTCACAGACGAACCATGAATTGATTATTTTTAGCTATAATAATAATAGATAACATGAAAGTTGCAAAAGAAAACATATTCAAAACATCCCGATGAATAGACATTGATATACTGTCTGGAAGAAATAATATTCTAGTAAAACCATTCTAAACCTCTACTGTATGGTGAAATTTTGGAATGACAATCCCTGTAAAGCTGAGAGATAAATATTATTTTAATACCCATGAATAGATAATTTATTGTCTGGAAAAAATAACACTTCACTGTACTTCAAGATTGTGGAATGACAAGTCAACTGTTAAAGCTGTCAAAGAAAATGACAACCATGAATACATGACTTACAGTCTGGAAAAGAAATAAGTAAGATATACAAGATAGACTTCACATTGCAAGGTCATCATTTTCATCTGCCAGCAAACACTCTCAAATTCTCATCGTATACCAGTAGCTTTTTTGAAAGGTTCCTAGGTCTTTAATCCGAAATTTCTCATTCGGCAGGCATCTGAAGGGCCCTGCTTCTTCAAAGGCAACATTGATATTCAGGACATTTTTCTTGGCTTCCATTTACTGGACACATCAAAGTGAAGCAAGCACTCAATGAATGTACACTGAAACTATATACATGAAGGACATTAACAACATGGTAAAAATGTGATTTTTTTCTTGATGGGAATGGCTGGGAAACACTGTTATTACCTCCGGGTAGGGATGTATATCCCGAGCGCGGAGGTTTTGTGAGGGAAGACGAAAATTGCGTTCGCACCCGTTTCTCGCGTTTGGGTGGACGGATATGTCTGGGACTTGGTATACGTTTTGCTGTTGGGCTGTAGATGGTGCACGTTGTTTTGGTTTTTTAGTATGTGTGTTTTAGTGCGTCAAAATGATGCGTTTAGACCGCCGATGGACACCCCTTTCAGTGTGAAAGTGGGCCTCAGCTTTTGACCTTTGCATGTATAAGGACGATTGAGGTCGCGACCACTGATCTGACCTTTCACACAGAGGGGTGTCAGCATTGTCGATAAATTCTTTCTTTGAAACTGTTCAGATGTGAACCACATGTGCCGTCAATCAACGTCTCATTATCGTGCCTGGTGGGACCCGCTGGGGGGATACTTTAGTACGCGTTCACAGGACACGTAATCGGCACTTCCTGGTTAGCCAATGGGTCAGGGGTCAACGTACTGTTGCGCAACCTTTGTGTTGGTTGTTTTCGGCGTATATTACGACTTCTAACTTACAAATACCGCGGATTCAGACCTTTACTTCCCCAATTTATACGAAGAATCGGCGGAAAATGGAGGAAGTGACAATAAGGATGACTTGCACATGCGGGGAGGTACTTCAGCAGTTAGGGACTGTACGATATTTTCCGGGGGGGGAGGGCTGGTGCACTGGAGGGGAGGGCCATTGAAAAATTTTTTGGCCTGGGGGGAGGGCCATGGAAAAAAATTTTGAGCCGGGGGGAGGGCCATCGAAAAAAAAATCGGCCTGGGGGGGAGGGCCACCGAAAAACTTTTTTAAAATATGGCGTCACGTAGTACCGAATTACAAGAAATACGCCGTAAATTCCCGAATATAGTACGCACTTTTTACATTTTTCAAAATCCCAGAAGTGTCGCGGGCCGTCGCCAAAGTCGCCGTGCGTACTTTATTTGAGTTTTCCGCCGACAAATCCGTGGACGACCCAGGAATATAGCGGAACACCGGCACGGGGAGCATGGAACATCGATCGTCTATAGCATGTTTAGATAAGAATATTGACGAGAATATTGTGGAAATAAAGTTAAACTTCAATAAATAAACATATTTCCTGTGACTATCGTCGATATTGACACCAAGTTGCGGTAAAAGAAGAAGTCAAGTCACCCACGGTAAGAAAATGTTGGTCACTAGCGGTGGAACCCCGGCAAAAATATTATCTCCCGTAAGTACACATACAATTGTAGGGTTTATGAGTGGTAATATTTGAAATGGTCCGCAAGCCGTGAACGTTCTTGATCGTCGTAACGTAACATGTGATAACATAACAGTTGTGCCTCGACTGATGGTCATCATTTCCAATACACTTCCGGCTTGAGTTCAACTCAGGAATCTTCAACAAAGATTATGCCTATGTCGTTTCAAAGGTTCAGAAATTGTTAACCATGTTTCACTTCGTATCACAAATATTTTAAATCTTGATGAATGCCACAGGAAATTACTTTGTAGCGGGCTACATTAGCCAGTACGACGTGAAAATTCCAGCTAGATATATAGATGTACTCCTACTCGACTGTTCGGCAAGCTACAATGATAGGGGCGGAGTTAACTTAAAGTGTAGTCTTTGATGAAATCTTACCGCCCGGCCGGTGGGTGGGGTGTTTGGCGCGCCGACAGGCAAAGTATACCTACAGCTGAAGATCACAGAGAGGGCCGTGGCATGCGCAGCGCTGAGGACAGCTTTCCAGAACATGGACCCCGAGAAGGAACTTATAAGTTTTACGGAGTACAAATTAATAACTGTTACGTGTTTATTCCTTAGATTTTGTGACAAAAACATCTATCACATAACGAGAGATTACTTGAAACGCAGTCAAACTTGTCACTTTCTCCTGTTCGGAATCGCAAGTCCCATTGATCCCAGTAGTCCTTTTGTTGTTGTGTTAATTGGTTTCGGTGTCAAATTTTAAATTCGGTAGCACCTCTACACCCAAATACTCCGCCCAGTTCTCCGCCTGTATGATTGTTGCTCTCCATGGGTCGATCGGGCGGCGCTATTAAAGAAGTGTTCGGCGCATTTCGTATTAAAAAAAATTAAGACTACGTACTTGTGCATCAACATTCAACTTACCCCCCCGTTACCGATAAAATCAATATTGAAATATTGTCTTTTTTTCACAAATCTTTATTGACCATTACTTGCTTGATCATTAACACTCCAAAGCTGGATCCAAATCTGTGCGTTTCGCCGCACTTGCCTTACCTTTCGATGCGGTGGTGACGTCTTGCAAGTCGGCTGCGGCCGGCGGTGAAAACAAGACCGAACATGGAACGTTTCCCGCTACGTTACCATACAATCACGAAGTACACGGAATAAATCTAGTTTTTAACAATTTTAAATTTGTTTGGAACGACGAACTGTCTTTAAGACATACATACTACATGTTCACTGTGGTACCGGCCGTGCGTAGAAGGGGTGCGTACTTATTCGAGTTTTTCCATTTTACGTTTCAGACGGGAATATTTGTCTCCCACCAGCCCCAAATCGGGGGTGCGTACTTTAATCGGGATGCGTACTTCATTCGGGAATTTACGGAGGGAGAAAGAGACATGGACTGGAAAAATGGGGGGGAGGGCCACCGAAAAATTTTTTGGGGTGGGGGGAGGGCCATTGAAAAAAATTTTAAGCCGGGGGAGGGCCATGGAATTTTTTTTGAGCCGGGGGGAGGGCCATGGAAAAAAATTTTTACCGGCCCGGTAAATATCGTACAGTCCCTTATTTTTAACGTCTGATTCCATTTAACGGCTCCGGTTGTCATTCTGAGTTTCATTACGAGTTCCTTGTGGCATAAGCTCGTGGCGGCCCGTTCGTGGGTACATGTTATAGGCTGCAGATGAAAATACTGACCTGTGTTAACACAACCAGGAAGGCTAAATCTAACACATAAAATTCAACACCATCAACTACATGTATATAACAAACAACATATAAAAGTATACAATAAAAAGCTCAGATTTTACTATTCGCACGCGCGCATCAGTTTTGGGGTTCCCAGAGGATGCCATCCATATAATCAAATCAACATGGCCTTACTTACATGTTAGAAGGGGACACGCGCACCGGACGATTGGCGGCTGGCGCCCGGAGCGGGTGTTTGTTTACATTATCGCTGGTCGCTGAGGGTCGGGCAGCCAGATTCGCCACGGGATGCCCCCTGTCCTTTCTATTTTTGGGCTCCAGTCGGCTAGGGGGATTAGTGATTTCACAGATCATTTAGCCAATTACAAACATTTCGAAACTTTCCGAAAAAATGGTATTCGCGCGAATTCACTAATTTAAAGAACAGTCCCAACATGCACCCAACATTCTGCAACACACATTTCAATACCCGGAGGTACAAAATCTACGATTTTCCTTGTTCACTCTAAAATGTGTCTCTGACATGTGAGAAATGCAAATGAGCCAAAATTACATCAACATGTACACTGTGACTGTATGCGTTATATTATCATACATTTTATTCATTTCTTTCTATCTTTTTTTATTTCATTTTAGAAACACCTGCCAGTGGGTAGCTAAGATGAAATATTACTATAAACAAAATATATGAAAGGCTGCTAAATCATTATGACATCCGAAGGTCTCACGTGAAGTGTTTTAGTTTTTAAAAATAGATAAATAAAAAGGGGTACTAAGCTAGAAATATATTCCAAGCTGTTATATTTTATAGAAATCATCATCGATGGATCGTAATGATCACTGTCATTTCAAAATAGGATAATATCTGTCTTAATGTACATACATTCATTACACAATAATACACATGGATAGATATGTACATGAACAGTACCACAGGCTAAATAATTCATAGCTGAAAATCAATTATATTCAGTCATCAACTATGCAGGCTAACAATAAAGTAACATTTGTATG